TCTGTCTCTGCTTCCCAGCTGTACCGAAAAGTTAGTGGGAAGTGCATGAGCCAGAGGCTTGTCCTGGCTTATTCTAGTGTTGGTCAAGTATTTGCTATTATTGCTCCCTGATGCAGCCATGGTAGAGTGAGTAGCTCTGAACAGAAGTCACATTAAATAATGTTTTGTGAAAACAGCCCACGTCTGCACATGAAGCCAGGGTCAGACTAGATGGCCCAGGAGACCCCTTCTGACTTGCTCTCTTGCTATGTTTCTATCTTCACTGGGATTGTGAGTATGAATAATAAATATTAGTATGAATCTTATTTTTTTAAGGGGGGCTCTTTTAAAGAGAGAGGCAAAACTGCTGATTGAGCAGCTAGGTAGGAGATGTGTCAAGCTGTTTGGAAATGAGATTCCTGAACTAGCAAATTATAAAATAGCTTTGAGTTGCTGGGAACCCCTGTACCCAGGTTGGATGCCATAAGGAATTACAAAGAATTCAGTTCCGTTGAATTGTGCTAATAGTGTTCTGAGCATATTTCAGATTCCCAAGAAACTTCTTCATGGAACTTCAGTGAAAATGTAGTGGATCATACCAGCTCACTTTTACAAGAAGAACAACACATTTTCACATTGTTCGGTGCCTCTGCATCACCGAAGGCTTATCACGTTTTATGCTGCGTATTTCCAGTCACTGTGATTGAAGTCTTACCAAAGGAGAAGAAGCAGAAAGATGAGAAGACCGTGACCCTTGGGCAGGCTGTGTTGGACCTTCTGCCGCTACTGGAAGGTAGGTGGTAGAGGCCAGGTTTTGTCCTCTTGAGCCCACTGGAACCACATAATGGAAGGTACGCAATGCATCTGCAAAATCCACAGACAAACACCTCCAGACTGAACAAAGTACAGCGAAGAGAACACATTCCCAAGAGCACTTTAATGCATTTCATGCATGAAGGCTGCACAGAGGTGCCTTGTCAATGCACATACCTCCAAACGGGAGAATCCTGGGTCAGTCTGCTCAGAAGAAGTGTCCCTCTTGAATTCAGTGGGACATCATCCTGTCCTGAGTATGTGTATCTAGAATGGCAGCCTAAGGACACCTTGCCACCTTCATGCTGTTTCTCCTTCATATGCCCCACCTGTGATCATGGTAAATATTTGCCCTTGGTTTAAAGAAAAGAAATAGTGCTTTCCCCAAACCTTCCAACCCAAAAGTTATTTTTTCTGTATGGCATACTCCGATTTATCCTAATTTTCTTTCTCTGCAGGATTGTGTGAATTTACTGCAACTCTTCCACTATACCCTGTACCTGGCTCTCCTCTGGAAACCATCCGACCAGATGCCAAGGTATTTCTAATACAATTTTTATTTTCCCTCCAGATCCTTTTACATTTCTTTTTATAAGATACAATAAGAAAGGAAAAGGGGTATAGGAAAGGAAGGTGCCAAGGATCAATCCACAAATATAGCATGTGACATCAACATTCAAACACATTCATAAAAAAGCAAAAATCTCATCAGCTATAATCCCATCAAAACAATTCTCAGTCAGACAAAATTTGTCCAGTCTATTGCTTTAATTTTAAAGTAGTAATTACTTGACATTTATAAACACTGTATTTTCTTTAACAATTAAATGAATTGCTCATAATACACTTTCCATCTTTGCGTAAATTCTTTCCCTTCTGTTAACGTAGGTAGTTAATTTTGCCATTATGGCATAGTAAACGAACTTGTTTTTCCAATCCTCAACAGTTGGACAGTCTTCACCTTTCTACCTCAAAGCAGTTATCACTCTTGCTACTATTGTCATGTATTTAACTAACTCTGTCATAATTTTTGGGACAGTCCCTGGTACAACACTCGATAGTATATTCTTGGTGTTCATTGGAAAGTCCATCTTAAGTATTTTCTGCATTTCCTCGTAAATCTGCTTCCAAAACCTTTTAGCTCTGTCACATGTCCATCACATATGGTAGAATGTCCCATCTTTCACTTTACATTCCAGCTTTTTCCATTGAAGTTCTTAACCATTTTCTGTATATCTTTTGGGATAACGTACCACCAAAAATACATCTCATACCAGTTTCTTCTTAACATTTGGCTTGCGGTGAACACTACATCTTTTGGTCATAAGACTCCCCACTGATGTGATTGGATTTCTTCTTCAAAGTTCTGCAACCAGCTCTTCACAGATATTTTAATTTGCAGCGTTCCAGTATCATGTTTAAGCAATAATGTATAAAGTCATCCTAGGAGATGGTCTTTTTGATATTTAAGTATAGCTTCAAAATCAGCAAGATTCCTTATGCTTTTTCCTGTCTGAGTTTCCTTTTTTAGTCTTGACACCAATTGATAATAAAGGAACCATTCTATATCTTTCCTTCATCTTTTAATTCTTGCCACAACTTAATTCATCTTTGTTAGTCGACCATGTCCCCATATGTTACAGAATCATTATTTTTCCTCGAATGTTTTTCACAGTGTGTGTCTATTGGAAACATCAAAGGAGAGGTTGGAGGACTAATACAATTTTTAAAGGCTTTCTTTCAAATCAATGTCTAAACTGGGTGTGGGCAGCATAATTTGAATATCTCTGTTTCAAAATTACTCCCAATCCTAAACGGACTGAACCTATGTTGTAATGCTTTGTATATCTTTACTTATCCGCTGCAGGCTGCTCCCATCACTGGAGAACATGGGTGGGAGGGTGTTCTTGCCCTCATGTCCTGCCTGCAGCTTGTTTGCCTTTTTGTGGACAGGATGCTGGACTAGATGGACCCTTGGCCTGACCAGCATGACTCTCACACTAACGGGATGGTGTAACTCAGTGTCCTACACTGAGCAGGGAGTTGGACCTGACGGCCTTCTGGTCCCTTCCAGCCCCACTGTTCTGTGCTTCTTAGGTTCATACATTCTTAGTGGGCGGGTTCACCTGACACAAGAAGCCATGGTGAAATCTTACTATTGTGTATTGGGACCCAGCTCTGAAGTTCATTGTAAGATTAGTTTTGTGCAACCACACGGAGAATCAACCGTCAGTTCTATGGTTCACCATAATATTTTATTTATTTATTTGTTTATTTATTAAAACATTTCTATGCCGCCCCTTGCCGAAGCCTCGGGGCGGCTTACAACACAATAAAATACAATAAAATACAAAAATAACAATATAAAATTAACAATATAAAATAAATAACAATGTAAAAGAAGTCGCCCTGGCCAGATAAATAAGCAAATATTGTTAACAATTAAAATGACGTTTAAATAAAAAGGTCTTCACCTGGCACTGAAAAACAAATAACGACGGCGCCAGGCGGACGTCTCTGGGGAGTGCATTCCATAGATTGGGTGCCACCACAGAGAAGGCCCTCCTCCGAGTACCTACCCTCCTAATTTCTTTCACGGAGGGCTCCCGGAGAAGGACCTCTCCCGCAGATCTCAAGGGGCGGCCGGGCATATATGGATGTAAGTGCTCCTTCAGGTAACCAGGACCCAAGCCGTTTAGGGCTTTATAGGTCATCACCAACACCTTGAATTGGGCCCAGACTTCACAATTGTCTGGACCTGGAATTGTCATTTTACCACGGCTGGTATGGAAACACCATAGAATCCCCTGACAAGAGCAGCCGTACAAGTGGCCGCTTCAGGCCTTCAGTCTTTACTGCCCTCCGCTCCCTAGCAACAGTTGCATCATTGTGTGCTTTGTTCCCATTCACCGAGCAATGTGTCCATCTCCCTGAGAGCGTGAAGATACAAAGAGGAAGAAGGAGAGAATGTCATTTATTAAAAACCACTGTTGGGGCTGGAGGTTCACTTGGAATGGGGAAGGGGGGATCTGCCTCAGGACTGCAGTGGACCATTCAGGAGAAGGCTCTGCAGTCCATATGCAAGGCTAGGGAAAGAATGGGCATTGCTCGCATGGGCTGCCATCGTGCACGGCACGGGCAAGAAGGTGGAGCCGAAGGCACAGAAACCACACTGCCCTGTTAATCTTGCGATTGTCTGACTGGTAAATTTGAGCAGATGTCTGTGTGCCGTTGCCATGCCATGTGAACTCAGCCATTGTCTAATTGGGTACTGGTGCTTTCCGATACTGCTTTATGCTAAAAGTTGGTGGCAAGATTTATAAATAATTATGTTCATTTACTTAAATATTTATATGCTTTTATTGTGTTTGATAACAGGCTTCAAAAGTGGCTCACAGTGGGGGGGAAACAATGGGGGGGGTTGCATAAGGAGGCAGCAGGCTGCAAGGCCTCTTCCTAGATTCCCTGCTCTCAGCTGGGAAGCAGGGCTGGGTCGTCCAAGCACACGTGTCGCTTGTGTCTTTGGCCATCCCTCAGAGGGGCCCTTTCTGACTTGAGGCAGAGCCAGCCCTGTGATCGGCAGAGGGAAGGAGCAGGTTGTTGGCGGCCAGAGCTGTGTGCGCCATGCAGCCTGCCCTGCTCCCCTCAGTGGCCTCCTCACTCGGGTGGTATCTCATTGCCAGCATTCAAGTAAATTCACCTACTGGCCTGGTTGGCTGGTACAGGGAGGTGCGTGGCCTGAGCAGAAGGCATCTTTTCTTGTGCCCTGGCAGCAGGATGCCTTGAGAGGGCTCCAGCTGATGAGGAGGCCCTTCTTCCTGCATTCATTTTCTTCCATTGCTGGCTGGCTGAGGGTGGAAAAGGCAGCCGAGAGAGTGAAATAAACTGACTTGAATCCAGTGACCTGCTGGCAGAAAATGCTGCCCTGATAGTGTCACCGTACAGCTGATCCTGGTTCCTATACTGCAGACTTAAATGGCTTTGCTAGTTATGCACTCCCCAGAGAACCCTGGGAATGGTAGTTCTGCAAATGTGGTGGGCTGCAGATCTATAAGAAGTATTTTCAGGAGCCCCACCAAACTATAAATCCTGAAATTCCTTGAGGGTGTGATAGAAAGGTGTTTAAATGTGTAGTGTCAGCATACGCTAACCCTGCTCTTGTTTTCAGTGTGCCATCAGTGTACTAGTGTCTGTCCAGGAGAGCCTGCTGTCTGCAGTGCAGCTCGCAGAAGGCAATCTTCTCAGAGTGACTGTGGAAGGGGCTTATGCAGTCCCCGAAGTGTTTACTCCCACTGGGCCGCAACAGAATTACATGGTTGGCTTTCAGGTGCCAGCAATTGGAGAGGTGAGCCAGTAATCTTGCATTATTGTCCTCAAGTTGTAGTTTTCTTGCCTTCAAAAAGTCTTGCTAAAACTGCTCTCGTTGATGCCAGGAGTTCCATTTCTGAGATGCCCAAACTAGTCTGCTGGCAGCCCCAATTCAGCTATGTCTGCCTACTGAAAATTCAGAAAAGTAAAAAGGAAAGCCTTCTACTTCTAATTGCATAGTATCAGATTTCTGATTTTAACCCTCTCTTTCTTTAAAAAAGAGCTTCTAATCTCTTACTTATTTCAAGCAAGGTTGAACTCCACTTCCAGGTCTTAGCCAGTCATACATTGCTATTAACAAGGTATCTCTGTAGTTTCTAGTCTGAAATCACTGTGGCTTTGCAATGTTATTTGCATGTGTATGGCAGATTATTATGAATCCAATCCACACAATACATAATGGGCAGCATTGCAGATGTGGAGCTGGCCGATCAAGTCCTGCCTCTGGTGTGGAATTATTGTATGGCCTTCAGCAAGCTATATGTGCCTGATGTGAGCCAGCCTTGGGCTTTAAACTTGTCCCCAGTTTTAATATGAAGGGCAAATCAATAGCATAGGATAGTTAGGATGCAATAGCAAATGAAGTTTTGCTTTGAACCAGGAGTCAAGGAGGGAATCAGAACCTTACAAAGTAGATGATGGAGAAGGAGAGGCCGAATTGTGCCCATGTAGTGACAAGCCATGGTTTTATGTTGTGTGTGAACTGTGTCTTCCCTTCCATTGCAGAATTTGAGAAAAAGTGGCCGAATTCATGTATGAGCTATCGTGTGCAAATGATCATATCAAACTAAAAGACCTTGATACACTTTTATGCACCCTCCAATCTGTAACTGTAATTAGAATATATTTCTCAAGCTGAGCCTATGCCCCGTTTCTGCCAGCTCCATAAACTGAGGAACTTCTCTTTCATCATCCTTCCAGAAAGAGTGCCCTTTCCTGTTCAAGAATGGGATCTTGAAGCTTGGTGGTGAGAAGGAACCGGTACCCCGACCCAAAAAATGGCCAGTCACAAACATATTAGCACCAGGGGCACAGAACATCCCGGATTCCTTTATTGTCGGTGGAGCTTATGAAGAGGAGGATGGAGAGCTGAACACACTTGAGGTGACTTTGGCCAAGCTGTGGGGCGTAGCCGAAGCAGCTGCGTGGAATTGTAAGAATGTAGTAACTGGGCTGTTAAGGCCGGCCAACAGGCCCTCTTCCCCAGAATCATGTCTCTAGCTGTGGCCGAGGGAGAGAATAAGACCAAAGTGCTGGTCTGATGTTCCCCCCTCATGCCAACCGAGGGCACAGCACAGGCAGCATCAGAGAAGCGGCAAGGGTAGGTTGGCAGTGGGTGGAGGCTTCCCCCCAGACAAGTCCTTTGCTTGCCTGCTTGCACTTATCATACAGAATCCCTCCCCCCATGTAGACGCTCCCTTTTCCCCACTCAGCAGTTATTCCTGGCGGCACCACAAAAACGGCAAGTTTAACAACTAATTTTAATGGCAGATTTGGGGGTTTCTGACTGCAAAATCTGCAGTATTCTGGATATGCAGATTTCTAGACCTTCTGAACTATGTGGCCTTTTCTTTTCTTTATTCTTTTTCTTCTATAGGAAAGGGATGTCAGAATCCAGGGAGAAATAATGAAAAAGAGGATTGTGTGGGACTTGGAAAGGCGCTGTTACCTCGATCCTGCAGCTGTGTTGTGGTAAGAGAATGCAGGCCATTCCCTAGGGGTTAGTGATGGAAATCAGTGAGCTAGACCAACCAAATGGAAAGAAGGGCGACCCACTTTAGGGAGCCAGGAAACTCGCCCTACCCTCACACTCTTTGGTGGCCTTAGGTAAATTCTCCATCTGAGGCTGAGATGTGCTAGGCTTTGACCTCCCTTGCAGGCTTTCTGTGGGTTATTAGAAGAAAACTCTATATCAGTGTTCACTGAGTATTACAGCTCTGGCTTTTTCTACACAGGTGTCATGGCCATCAGAATAGTATTTTAACTGCATCTTCCCCCAACCCCTTCCATTTTCTTCTCAGAAGCGTCATGTGAGGTAGCTTAGGCTAGAAGAGAGATAGACAAAGGTATTTAGTAATTGGTGGCAGGGGATAACAAGGGCTCGGTGGAATTTAAACCTGCATGGCCTAGTCCAATAAAAACATGACAACCACTGCACCACCCTCATGCCGTACTGAGATGCCAGGCATAAGGGACATATAACAGTTTTAAATAAAATGAAGATAAAATCAATGCAAACACTCCCTGTAGTCTGCAGAGCAAGTTGGTGTAACAGTTGCGCTCAGCGAGTGGTACACAGTCTGAGTTGCTGGCACTAGCCAAAAGGCTTCCCTTGGTCATGAGGCACTGCCTCTGCATTTCTGTGGCACAAGCCCTGTATGCCTGGCATATAAATTGATTGGTAACCCCAAGTCTGATGTAAAACCATAAGTATCAGTCAGAATAGCATTCCTCGGGCATGAATGGACAGGCAGTAGCTGCACCCATTCATTGGCTTTAGCTGCACAGCAGGACACACAAGCTGTGGCTTCATCTACCCTCCACAGATTTTGTGTGCCCACTGTGACCCACCCCTGCTAACTTGTCGCCCCATCACTTGAACGCCTGTCTCACTGCCAGCAACCCCCAAGGATGCCTAAGTATTTCTGCTTCTGGGAGGACATTCTTTCACCTGGCCCAGAGGAGATGACCTGAGTTGTCTCCTTGGAGATGCTCTGGCAGCCACAGTCCCCTCTGAGCACTGTTGCCAGTGTCATTGTGAAATGGCAGCCCTAGAGGGGATCACAGGGGGCTGAAAAGCAGACATTCTTTCCAACCCTCAGTAGTTCCTAGCTCTTGACTGACAAGAAAAGAGAGGTTTGTTTGTTTGTTTGTTTGTTTGTTTATTACAAGCATTTATATCCCGTCCGTCCATGGAAGCACTCAGGACGGCTTACATAATATAAAAATTCTAAAATACAATATTAAAACTACAATTAAAACATTTAAAATTGAACATATGAACTAAGAAAAAAAGGAAACTAAAATAGAAAGTGCAACTGTGAAACAAATAGAGACAGAAAATCTTAGAATATCTAAAACTCTTAATTGTTAAAATGATGGTTAAATAAAAAGGTCTTTACCTGGCACCAGAAGGAGTATAACGTCGGCACCAGGTGGACCTCTCTGGGGAGTGCATTCCATAGTCTGGGCACCATTGCAGAGAAGGCTCTCCTCCAGGTAGACATCCTCCATACTTCCTTCAAGGAAGTTTAGTTCTCCTGATCACTGTGCACTAAGAGAGGGTGTGTGTGTGTGTGTGTGTGTGTGTGTGTGTGTGTGTGTGTGAGAGAGAGAGAGAGAGAGAGAGAGAGAGAGAGAGAGAGAGAGAGAGAAAGTAAAAGTATGTGCGCATTCCTGTGGACATCTGCAGCCTATGCTGGATGTGACTATTGGAGCTGAGAAAGTTGGCTGCATTAACTAAAAACAAGTTCACCTTTTCTGGGTGAGGAGGTGTGTTATGGCCACATAGCATGCATGTTTCTACATTTGTCTGTTCACCCGGCTCATGACAGAAGCTTGCAAAGACCTATGGGTGCTACTGAGACTAGAATAAAGATAAGTGGCTTGCTTCCGGTCTTCCTCCTTGCCACAGCTTTCAGAAGCGGATAGCAGATTGCCGGCACTGGCCTGTGGAAATCACCAGAGTGCCTGTAGTAACTTCCACGAAAGGAAAAGGTGGAAAAGGAGAGAAGGTAAAGCACCTGTTCTGTGTGGGCAGGGGAGGTGAGTGTGTGCACAGATGTTGCTTCTTCACATGTGATTCCTGTCGTGTCTGAGAATGAGCAATGTCTGGGAAATTCTGCAGCTTTGTGAAGACACTTTCTGGGGGTGGGCGTACCATGAGTGGGCAGAGGCGGGTTTTGGTTGCCAGTAAAAATGGCTGAATGTGTGCTTGAGTATAGGAAAACTCAAACAAGTGCACACATCATGCAAAGCAATAACAAATCACCCATCTGAACAAAAGTGGTCAAGACCATTTTGTTTGTTCCATGTTCATGGGGGTCAGACTAGATGGCCCGGGAAGCTCCTTCTGACTCGCTCTGTTTCTATGTTTCTATGTACGTATCAGCTTCATACTCAAAACTATCAACACGAGGCATTTTGGTCACGTGCCTCCTGACTGTAAACTTGCTTCCTCTACAGAATCAAAATCTGAAGCTGATCACCTTTTGCAAACTTTAGGAGGCCTGTCTATTCTGGTTGACCTTCAGAGTGCAGTTACATCAGCTAATTTGGGGGAACATTCTGTGAATTTGGTGAAACGCTGCTCTGTTTGGCTGGTCTTATGCGCTTTGTTTCCACGGCTTAGTTTTGGCCATTCACTGTGAGCCTTCACAAGTGGAAGCAGGGTGTGCTATAAATCACAATCAATTTCCAGGGAGCTGGTGCTGGTGCTGGTGGCAGTGATGAAGAACCAATTTCCTTTCACGGTGTAGCTTATGTCAACTTAATCCCTTTGCTGTACCCTGGGGTGAAGCGGATCCGGGGAGCATTCCGAGTTTTAGCCTACCACGACAGTGAGGTGTTTGAAAGGGTAAGAACCTTTAACCTGCCGGCCTTTGGAAATTCTTGCAGGGGGTCGTAGAGCAAGAGGTAGCCTTCCCAAGCGGGAATGTGAGAAGAAACTGACACGCTTGAGCTTGCCTCATGTTGCCCCTTATTTTGCTGTATTGATATGCCTGTGTGACTAATTTTATGTGCTCTTTCACTGGTATCGCACCTTTTTTCCATGTGGCAAGAAACACATGATAAGTTACACAGTCATCTTCCCCTCCATTTTATTTTCACAACAACCCTGTGAAGGCTGAGGGTCAGTGACTGACCCCAAGTCTCTCCGAGAATTCCTGCGTCTGAGTCCAGCTCTCTAATTAGCACGCTACACTGGCTGTTGTACACCACCCTGGAATTCTTCTGAAGAAAGAATGTTAAGGAAACAGCTTTTAAAAAATCTTTACGGAGCTAGGAATCTGAGGCTGCAGCTGTGGTATATCAGATAACTAATGCCATCAAAACTCACTGCCATGCCAATAATATGGTAGGCCATACAGAGACCCATTTTAGCCATTTATGAGCAAAAAGGGAAAGAGCCCACTTGTGTAAAATTTTCTGGACTTGCTGCCTGGAGGTAATTACCACTCTCCATAAGCAAATGTGTAAAGCGACTGTTTGGATGCCTGTGCTATTCAAAGAGAACTCACTGGAGAAGACCCGGACGCTGGGAACGCTTGACGGCAAAAGGAGAAGGGGAGAGCAGAGGATGCGGTGGCTGGTTGGAGTCACTGGGGCAGTGGGAGTGGGCTTCAGTGGACTGAGGGATGGTGAAGGACAGGAGAGCCTGCAGGAATGTTGTCCGTGGGGTCATGAGGGGTCAGGCAAGATTTTGCAACTAAACAAAAACAAACAACTATGTAAAGAGAAATCACAGTCGGTTTTTGACCCATGTGGTGATTCTAGCCTTGATCCCGACACTGGGTCAACTATCTTCCAGTTCTTCAGGCAGCCTTCCTTCCCCTCCCTCCTTCCTGTTTTTAAGGTCCAGCTGTATATTTATCTGTTTGTGTCAAACCATCTTATTACTTTTAAAAGGGTATGGAAGGGGCAGAGCAGAGCTATAGCCCACCCACCCCCTCTTTCACTCCTGCCTGTCTTCTTTGGTGTTTGACTGGTTAGGTTTAACTACTACTTTTTCATGGGATCTTTTTAGCAAAACATGGTTATCCTTGTTTTTGCACATATATGTGTTAGCCTCCCTATAGTACTGGAAGCCATCTGAGGGACAATCCTCATGAAGCAACACGGAGGCTGCTTTCCCTGTTTGTGCTTCTGGGAGGCATGCAGCCACATGGGCAGAGTAGTGGGTCGTGTCTTCCAGCATCATGCAATGAACCCATGGAAGAAACTGCACCCACCCTGGCTCAAGTGCAGCATTTAGAGAACTGTCCTTTTTGCTGTAGCTTGCCTTATTTTCAGTTGTGCCTTCACTTTATGGGTTTCCTCCATCCTCTTTTGCCTCAGACCAAGTGCCTCCTCAGTCTTTTCCGTGATGTTGGTCACCAGGCAGCCCTCAACAAATTTGGGGCAATGGGGATGTACACCCCACATACCAAAGGTATCCTTGGGAAGAACACCAAGGAGGACAAACCTGGAAAAGAGCTTATCCTGAGAAAGGTGAGTAAAGAGAGAAAGTCTGCACAAAAGAGAGGAAGTCCTGATGGTTTTGGAGAAGAAACATTACTTGACAAAGAGGGCAAGAGGTGATAAAGGGCCCAAGCTCTGGAGAAGAGGCCCCTGTAGTCTCCATGCCCAGGAGAGACCGTGGAATCTGGCGTAGCAAGCCAAGGAGAGCCACCATAGCACTGTTCTCGTGGGTTAAGCCATAGTAGCACCCAGGCCCAAGCAACTGCTGCATTTCTTTGGAGTGCAGTGGCCCCTGGCAGGATTGGCTCCACATCTGAGGTATCCATCTGCAAAACAGGCTGTGAGGCCTGGTGGGCTTACCTCTAGCTACAGTGCTAAAGCCACAGCAGGGTGGCTGACCCCGTCTGCAACTTTAACTTCCCTAAAGCATTGCAGAGAGATGCTCCATTAGGGAAAAGCAAAAGAATGGCTGGATCCCACCACCTGGAGCTCCGTGGAGTGTCGAGCTGCAGCAGGGGGCAGGGGGAGTTGATAGGAGCAGTGAGGGACTCCCAGCAGGTGCCTCTCCAGGCCCTGGCCTGCTTCCTGTTCATGGGAAAGTACTTTGGCCTCCGCAGAGCAGGAAAGTGGGTTTTAAATCGGCAGAAGTCTCCTGTGCAGCTCCACTGCTAAATCTGGAGTTCTTTGACCGCTGAGCACCCTGTTTCACCTTTCACCTTTTACAAGGCATCCAATGTTCTAAGAAAGGACACATCAGAGATCACAATAGAAGCTGCTGTGTCTGTGTGCCAGAACCTAGAAGGACAGGTAAGTATATTTTTCAATTGATGGCTAGGGAATTATAAACTGTCCTTACTCAAGTCTGGAACCATGCGAAATACCCAGATTCCCACCAGGGTTCTGTGAAAGCAGCGCTGCTTCGCATAGACGGCCGCTGAGCATTTCTTAGCACCATGTCCAAGTGTGTGTGTTAGCCATAAAGCAGTGGCATGTGACCTGGAGCAATGTTTTGGCACTGTTTGATGGAGCCCTGTGCTATCCCCTCTCTCCCTCTGCCCCTTCCTCTTGTGTCCTCCGCTTGAATTTGTTACTTCAAGTTGCTCAGAAACTGCAGTCGGTCATGACAGTTAAAACAGGAAACCGTGATTTGTGCATGCCCCACGTATCAGGACTGCAAACCACAGTTTGACCTTAGCTTGCAGCCATGGCTGGGAGGTGCCCATGCACTTGACTGCAAGATGCAGTCTCTAGACATTGCAGAGGTTGAATTGTGACCGTAGTGCCTGTGAGGCAACATGGAGAGGAAGGCGCGTGGGCACATGGAGACGGGGCTCCTTCGTGTACCCTAAACCATGGTTAGCCAAAAAGGGATTGTAGACGAATGGGAGGGGCATGTTGTAATACATCTGGTTGTTGACTAGAATAGTATGCTATTTTGAGCAGTTTGCTAGCCGGTTGGGACTTTCTCATGCTCATAAGGGCTGCAAGGGCTTGCTTGGTAGTGAAAAGGCTGATGTGCCAACTAGGAGGCAGCCAGCTACCCTTTCTGATCGCCCTGGTTAGTGAAATCAATGCATTGGAGCAGGAAGGAGCCAGTACATTTCCATAAAGGAGATGGGCAAGCTCTTGATGTGGAAATCTGCTACTTTCCTTTTCCTCTTAGATTTTTCCTCCCTCTCTCCTGCTTGTCTAAAAATTATTCATTCATTTTGTCAGTCTATCCATGTTTTCTCATTTTCCCCTTCAATATATATGGGTGACAAAATGAAGATGGCTGGGGTTTTTTTACTGATTGTATATACATAAGGCTGAAAGAGAAAGAAGTGAATGAGGATTAAGAAAGCAACATTTTCTAATGATGTGTTGTTGTATTTTTCTTATAGACAGTAAGCTCTTTTCTTATAAAATAAGAAAATGTAGATAAATATAATCAGACAAAAAGTGGAAATCTATCTTTTCTTTAGCTCCAGATGCTTTCCTGGTTATGCATATTAAAGAAAACCATTCATTAAAAAAATAAAGCGGTTTTGATTTTGTTTTGGTCAAACCACTAGAGGACCACACACTGTCCGTGGTGTAGTTCTTTCTAAGGCAAAGTTCCACAAACATTGGTTCTGCCATTTTGCAACAGAAGCTGGCTGTGACTTCCCCACTCCCATCCTGAGGAAGTGTTGATTTGTTTGTCTTTTCAGCAATATGCAGAATCTGGAACATTTCTCGTGATAGAGTTTGCATTGGACAGAGCTTTGGTACCCAGACGTTTGCCAGAGGAACTTGCAAGCCGGTACGCATGGGCAGTGGTCGGGTTGCTAAGAAACATTCTGCATAAATACACATCATACAGTGCTCTGCAAATTCTTGCTCAGTGGAGGAAGGTCTCTTGAGAAGGATTACTCCTTACTCCACAGGCTGGCCCAGAGCGAGCACTGCAGGCTCTTAATCTTTGGTTGCATCCTATTCTGTGTTCTGATCAGGGAACCGTAGGGTAGGAAAGACAGCTGAGGGTGGGTTCAGTCAGTTAACAGAAGGTCAGGTCCAGCTGGAGTTGCTCCAGCAAGGTCCATTGCTCAGGCATGGCCTTTAATCCCACATGGGCCATTTGGTCCCTCTGCCCTGGCGCCTAGCACTCTTGCTCCTTGGCTCTTGCCTTGCAGAGTGCCTCTGCTGGTGAGCACGCGGCAGGGAATGTGAGACCCCTGGTGCAAAGCAGGCTAGTTCCACAGCAAGCTGGCTTAGGAGGGTCGATGCCTCTTGGAGGTCCTGGTCTGGGGGTACTGTGGCTCAAGGGGCTCCTGGCTGACAGGCGTTGACTCTGGTGTAGAGCCTGGCTCTGGCTTCATCCTCTTGCAACTTGTGCTGTGGGACTTGGTTCTGCTGGTTCCTTCTCTGAGACAGGCAACTTGCTTGCTCCACAGCAACAGTCTTCCAAAACTCCCAAGACCTGCTTGCTAATAATGCTTATTATGTCCTTGCTTCCCTGGTTAATAATTGGTAGCAGGTGGAGAAGCCCAAACGTTGTCTGAAATAATTCAGTTATTGCCAGTTTGCCTTGAGTGGGCTTGGATCAGGCCCTGGCAGGAACTAATTAGTATGGCTTGCTGATTCTTTTTTTACCATTGCTGTCTCTAGGCATCAGCCTCTGGCTCTGACTGCATGAGCAGTAGGTGCTTCAGCAACATCTTTGCTAATTATTTTGGGTTTCTTGACTTGATTTTGGGAAAATCCATGAACCGCCTTTGTGCGCCAGAGAGAACTCTGCAGCTGTTTACATGGTTACTTGTGCAAAATGGAACACAGGTACATCAGGATGCCTGATGTGGTTAGGATAATTCATTTCTTCAGTCTCTGAGTTGCTCCTCAAATGTCTAAACAGAGCAGGGTTAGTTGAGTGTTCAGGCATGGTTTTCCAAGTTAATGATCCCGCGCCCGAATTAATCCTTGGGCACATTGTATATCTGATTGGAAAGACTAGACAGATGCTTGGCTGGTAGAACCTGGAAGTGGTAGGTGGAATGGACTAGTTCAGAGTGCAGGTCAGAATGCCAACTTTGAGCTCTCCCATATGTGATAAAGTTCCAGCAGGGAGAAAAGTAGCACATCATAGAGAGGTTCTAGCCAAACCAACTCCCTGTTTTAGTTTTCTTCCTGCACAATTTTTTAACGTTTAGGAACGTTTAAGAATGTAGTGCACCATTCCCAGTTCAAAATGGTACTGCTCATTCCCACTGCATTATCCTGTGTGCATTGACTATGCCACCATTGCCGCTGTTGCGGAATCAGTGAATCATGTAATGTGGAAGGACCTCAGCAAAGAGCCAAGCTACTGAATGGTGTGACCCTATGTATGTTTACTCAGAAGCAAGACCCATTAAGTTCAGTGGGGCTCGCTCACAGGCAAAATTTGTATAGGATTGTACACTTAACTGACAGATTATTGGAACCTGTTTTTTTCCCCTTCTGTTACATACAGAGTAAGAGAAATGATTCCTCCACGCCCTCAACTCCCTCGAAGAACGACAGGAGCTAAGAAGGTATCAAGCATAGCAAGTTTTGCAGGGTTTTCTGTTCCCAAAAAACAATTGAAATTCTGTGCCACAGCAGTTCGGTTCCCCTGTCAGGAAAATGTTAGTTCCATAAACTGAATAGAGTGCATACATGTGCTTAATTACTCCTATTCATTAAGAGAGTATTTAAGAGAGAGCCACACTGAGAGTGTGGTGTGGGTAAAGAGGGTGGGACTGGGACTCGGGCAACCGCATTCTGCCCTTGGAATGCATTCAGTAGTCCCCTGTTAGGATGTGCTTGACACTGTTTAGTGAGCGGTCACCTGGAGTGTTCCTTCGGTGGTGGAACGTTTAGAGGCTTGGCGGAAGCTGCCCATGCAGCGCCACCAGAATAATTTGCATTGAAGGTTGGGAAGCACGCTTGTGAATTTTTAAAAAGCCATTTCCAACCCCAACCTGATCATTTCGCCTATTTTCTGGGATAGGCTAGTCCATCCTTCTGCAACCTGACGCTCTCCAGATGTGCCTCCTCCACACTTTGACTGGGTTCGGGCAACATGATAACACACACGCAAGGATTGTCATTGAACTCTGGGTTGTTTTTGAAACATGGGTTATTGTGTTGCCTGCACCCAGCTGAGATAACAAACCATGGTGATCCAACAATAAACGGTGGGTTCCCTTTATGGGCCCTTTGTAGTTAACGAACCATGGCTTTAGCTCAGCTGGGTTCAGGCAACAAGATCACTTATGTTTCAACAATAAACCATGGTTCAACTGCAGCCCACATTTGAGTGTAGGTTACCCTGTTGTCTGAATCCAGTCACTAGAACCGCAGTTGTCGCATTCACACATAGCAATGGCTTATGGCCCTGCGGCAACACCCACCATGGCTTCATTCTGGCTCAGTTCCCTTTCCACACTCAACAGTTCTCCACATACAAGCAGCAATTTTGTGGAAGGGAGAGTTGCCGGGGCTGCAACGGCAACCATGTTGGATGTACCTCCTGAGAGCTCCTTGGTGAGAAATGGCGTGTTTATCCCTCGGAATGATTCTTCTGGGGCCTCCCCATCTGCCTGCTTGCTGTCCATGCGCCTGCCCGGCACCAGGCAGCGCCGCAGGGGGCCCGGGATGTTGCTGCTGCTTTCGCTGCCACAAGCAGCAGGGGATGTGCCTGGCTCCTCCCGCCACCGCAGCTCCCCTTGCTTCTATAGCTGCGCACTCACGGCTCCCAGACCTGTGAGAGAGGACGCTGGGGGCAGGGCTGGGGGGCACTGGGGCTCTTCCCTGGCCAGCTGTGGCCATCAGCCAGCAGCCAAAGGGTGTTGCTGTTCAGGGCTGGTCAGGATTGAGTTGGGCCAGAGATCATGGCAGCTGGGACAAGGGGGGTTGGGCGGGGCATTGCTTTCAATTGTATGTGTTGGTGGGGTTTTTCTAAGTGGAGCCAGAGGCCGCTCTTGCATTAGGCTCCATTTTAAATGTGCACAGCCTCCTATTTTATATTTTTGTATTTATTGTATTTTAATTGGACATGGGAGTTCCTGGGGAGTGATGGGGTGCCCCTATAGGCATGGTTATGGACAGGGGGAGGTATGGCGTTGGGAGTTCAACAGGTCCTTGCAGAAGAAGGGAGGGCAGATGGATAACACCTGTCCCCTCTTCTGGTTTTTCCCCAGCTGCAAGGTACCAAACTGTGATATCAAGTGGCCCTCAGGCTTGGTGGTGCTGCTGTTGAATGCCAGGTCAGTCCTAAACAAATCATCCTGCAAAGGCATTCAGCAGCAGCACCAAGCCTGAGGGCCAGTTGATTTAATCTTGGATGAGGGGGCCGACCTGGCATGTATCACAGAGACCTGGACGGGAGAGGTGGGGGATGTGGCACTGTCCCAGCTGTGCCTGCCCGGATATTCAATTCAGCACCAGCCTCACCTAAAGGGAAGGGGAGGGGGTGTTGCCCTAATTCTTAAAAGTACAGTCTCCTTCAGAGGCTTCTGGTCCCGGGCCTTGAGTGTTTGCACTTAGCGCTGGGTGATCGAGACAGGTTGGGGATTCCGTTGGTGTACCGTGCACCCTTCTGCCCAACAGCCACCCTGCCTGAGCTGATGGAGATCGTCTTGGACCGGGTGTTGAAATCCCCAGGATGCTGGTCCTGGGGGACTTCAATTTCCATGCTGAGACTGTTCTGACCAGGGCAGCTCAGCACTTCATGGCTGCCATGACAGCCATGGGGCTGTCTCAGCATGCCACCAGTGCAACTACATAGAAGCACAGAAACAGAGCGAGTCAGAAGGGGCCTCCCGGGCCATCTAGTCTGACCGCCGGCACCAGCCGGCTCCGCTCACGACATGCCCACCATGTGGACATCCAGCCTATCCTTGAACACCCGCACCGATGGGGCCTCAACGACCTCTCGATGAGGCCACACTCTGGACCTGGCAAGAAGATGGTGATCTGGAACTGAGGGATTTGACGTTAATCCCTTTGTCATGGTCAGATCATCTTGTGAGGGTTAAACTTAGGGCAGGCTTTCCCCTCCGAAAGGGTGGAGACCCTATTAAAACGGTCTGCCCCCGAAGTCTAATGAATCTGGATGGATTCCTGGGCGCTCTGGGGGAATTTCCAATTGATAAAACTGGCGCTCCTGTTGACGCCCTGGTTGATCTGTGGAATGGAGAATTGACCCAGGCAATTGACACAGTCGCTCCTAAGCGTCTTCTCCCGTCAAGCAGAGCCTGCTCGGCACCATGGTATACACCAGAGTTGTGGCCAATGAAGCAGGCTGGGAGACAACTAGAGCAAAGGTGGAGGAAATTCCATGCTGAATCTGACTGAACACAACCAGGAGCCCATTATCGGGCCTATGCTATGGTGGTGAGGGCGGCAAAGAAGGAATTATCTTCCTCTTCCATTGCATGGTCACAGTGCCGTCCAGCTCAGCTTTTCTGGGTGGTAGGGGTCTGTTACATTCCAGACCAAAAAATAACTTCATCACACCCTCTGTGGCTCGCTGTGATGACTTTGCCCAGCACTTTAGGGATAAAATCGCTCAAATTTGTCATGAGCTGGTCTCCACAGTTGATGTACCTGAACGGGAGGTGTCCATAGTACAGTCCGGTCCATCTTTGTTAGATGAGTTTCAGCTGTTGCGGCCTGAGGACGTGGACAAGGTGCTTGGACTTGTCCAGCTGGATGAGGGCCAGTAAATTGAAGCTTAATCCAGACAAGACAGAGGTCCTGCTGGTAGGTGGTTTAGCCTCCCAGGTAGGTGTTTCTAACCCTGTTCCGGACGGGGTTGCAGTCCCCCTAAAGGATAGGGTGCGCAGTTTGGCAGTGCTCCTCGGTCTGGCACTGTCCCTGGAATCCCAGGTGGCGGCGGTGGCAAGGAGTGCTTTCCTTCAGCTTCGGCTCATCCATCAACTGCACCCCTATCTGGATGGGCAGTGCCTGGCAGCGGTGCCCCATGCCCTGGTAACTTCCTGATTGGAGTACTGTAATGCACTCTACATGGGGCTGCCCTTGAAGATGGCCCAGATACTTCAACTGGTCCAGAATAGAGCCACCAGGTTGTTAACAGGGACTGGCAGGCATAAACATGTAATGCGGGTCCTTTTCCACCTAGACTGGCTACCAGTTGAAGCCCGGGCCCAATTTAAAGTGCTGGTGGTGACCTTTAAAACCCCAGGCTGCTTAGGGCCTGGTTATCTGAAGGAGCATCTCCTTCCATATGTGCCTGCCCACCCCTTAAGATCTGGGGCAGATGCCCTTCTCCAGGTCCCTCCCTGAAGGAGATTAGGAGGGTGACTGCCTGGAGAAGGGCCTTCTCTGCAGTGGCGCCCCAATTGTGGAATTTGCTCCCCAGAGAGGTTTGCCTGGCACCATCACTTCATTCTTTTAGGCACCAGGCCAAAACCTTTTTATTTTCCCAATGTTTTAAGACCTGACTGTTTTAACTGGGGTTTTATTATTTGTTGAATTTTTAGGATGCTGTGTTTAATTCTTTTTACATTTTATATTGTTAAACCATCCCAAGACTTAGAAACATAGAAACAGAGCGTCAGAAGGGGTCTCCTGGGCCATCTAGTCTGACCTTCAGCACCAGACAGCTCCGCTCACGACATGCCCATCATGTGCATATCCAGCCTGTCTTTGAACACCCTCACCGATGGGGCCACCACAACCTAGAAAAGTTTTAATTAATTAGCTATTAATTCTTTTCAGTGGTGAGTGCAGAGGAGCTGCCCTTCTTCTCAAAAGGGTTATTTCTTTGTCTTCGTAGGCAGTAGAAGATTATCATACGCAAATCGTCAGCATCGCTGGCGCCATCCTGGACGAGTACCACGAGTTGTTTGGAAGGCAGCTGGCTGAAGGGGTCACCCTCGACAGCCACATGCTGGAGGATCAGAAATGCCAGCTCAACTACGAGCTCAACAGCTCAGGGAAATACTTTGCCTTTAAGGAGCAACTCAAGGTGCTAGCTCCATTCCACATGATGCTTCCCTATGTCATGACGCTTCCCTTCCCATTCTCCAGCACATGTTTTCTGGTTTGGCTGTGGAAAAACAGCCACCTGCTCTGGAGGATCCAGGGCGTACCAAAACCCCACATCTTCCCCTTGCCCCTCTTTCATTCAGTGTTCCAGCAGCCACCTTGCTTTCGCTCTCTGCTAGCTGAGCAAGACAATCAAAAGGGGCACCTCCTGACAACGTGTTTTGCCCCCTTCCCTCACAAAGAGCTCAAGTTCTTGTAGTCAGGCGGAGACTTTGTGTTCCCTGCAGCATGCAGTGGTGAAAATAGTGAGAGAAAAGTACTTGAAAACGACCGCCTTCGAGAATCTGGATCAGCTCCAAGCTTTCCTGAGCGAGCTGTATGTGTACCTGGTGGATCAGATGCATGTTGCTTTGAATCAGGTAGGTGAGGTTGGAAGACTGAGCTGTACTCTTAAACATGCTGCAGCGATACACCACTGGTTTATCACCATCCCTACCGCCATTAGTTGTGAGAAGTATCTGGCTCTGTAGGATAAAGGCTGGAACAAGAATTGGTGATCATTGTTGTTATTCTCAGGCTGAAGTTTTGATCCAAAAAAGGCAGGTCTATGCCGTGTATACTGATGGTGGGGATTCAGGAAGACTGTTTTGATGTGTAATATTTTCATGCTTCTTAGATAAGCCAGGTACCTTTTCCTTTGGCCACAGCGGAGGTCCAGCTCCCATCTTCCACTGCATTCAATATGGGGCTGAGAGGGGGCATGCAGACTCACCCATTTGTGTCTGTCAGTCCCACCCTCATATGCTTCTGTATTCCTAAGAAGGGATTCTGCATTTGTACTGATGTGCATGCAGGCCCCTAACCAGCCAAAAAGTTGCAGGGAGCACCCCAAAAAACAGCAGGAGGGATTCATCCATTTTACAAAATGGTAAACTGTTTTTCCAGTTGTTTCTCTGTAAAAGCCTAAAATAATAGGTGTGGGACAGAAAAAGGGTTGGAGGACCAGGTAACACCCTACAGGCCTATGTTCATATGTGCAGATCTTTCACATGAACAGGGATCCTTCTGGGGGAGGGGTGCAGAGCACAATTTGAGCCCATATATGCCCACAGTCCCCTCACACATTCTTTGAAAACGTGAGACAGCTCGGCAGGAGACCCTGCTGCCCTTACACATTGAAAACCCTTCTAAGCATTAAATACAAGTGAACTCTCCTTGGCTGGATCATATACCAAAGAATGCTTCTGTTGTTCTCCTGTCCTTTCTCCATGCCCAGGTGCTGTCCCAGCAGAGCCCGAGCCCCCCGCCTCCCTCTTTCACCACCTCTGAGCAGCTCCGGCTCTTCGCTCGGGAAGCCCAGGTCAATGGAGATTATGACGTGGCCTCGACCTACTACCAGGAGGTAACAGGACTCTTCCGCCATTTGTATTCTGCTGCCCCAGCTGGGACAATACTCTGGGAAAGGGATTGGTCTTTTGGGGGATATGTTGGCGCCTCCCACAGCTGAAGGCAGGATGTCGTGGTGGGGTTGTGCTTGTGCTTTTTTTGCATCAGTGTGGCCCACGAACGTTTGGCTGGTGAGACTTAGTAAAAGCATTTTGTGCCCCAGGCCAGCAGTTCAGAGAGGGTAGAACCATTCCTGGACTATATCACTTTGGACTGCAGGCAGGGGTCATTTGACTGGACGCTCCTCCAGATAAACTCCCCATCTATCAAAGGATGACATATGAAGAAGAAAGCTAGTTTCTAGGCTAGCTTTCAGTGTGCAGGACTCCCAATCCCCAAATGGAAGTTCCCATCACCTGTAGTCCAGGAAGAATGCTACCACCTCAGTTGTTTATTTTGGAGCCAGGCCTGATTGGCTGAGAAATGTGAGTTAAAAGGTTAAATTTTAATTTGGGAACCTCTGCAGGAATGTTGCACAGGGGAGGGTGGGCTCCCAAACTGCACAACAGAGTTAAAACCAGCTGAAGATCATATAGTGCCAGTCAGCCTCTGGTGATGAGGGGAATCATTAGGAAGAGAGAGCCCAGTTCCAAGCTCCTGAGCAGAGACCTAACTCATGTAACGGCCTTTCCATCTCCAGAGGCTGGCCCGTGACCACCAGGATATCCAGAGCTGGCTGGATTATGGAGCCTTCTGTCTGCTGACTGAGAACAACCTCAAAGCCCAAGAATGTTTCCGAGAGGCTGTTGCGCTGGATCCCAATCACCTGCACAGGTACCCTGGGCCTGAGGAGGGGAGACCTGTGGCCCCATCGGACACTTCTCCTGCAGCAGGAGGGTTCACTTGCGGGGCTGGCAGGGTGTTTCTCCCCTCAGCTGCAGGGAGCATGGACTCCGGAGGCAATGCGGAGAGATTAATATGAGCAAGGCATATATGAGCCCCTGAAACAGAAGAGATACGACACATGACCCTCTGCGTGGAGTGCTGTGTTGAGCACTGCTCAAGGGAAGGGAGGGGTGCTCGTGCTGTTCAGTCTGCCCACAATCAAGGTCCACCTTCCCCAAACGGGGGCTCTCCAGGTGATTTGGACAATGCCTAGCTTCCCCAGCCAGCCATAGCTAGCACATCTGGAGGAGAGCATGCTGGGGACGGCCCATGTCTCCTCTCCAGACGGTTGTTTGTTCATCTCGGGATTCCAGTGTGTTCTCAAAATACCTAAGAGCAGGCGTGACTGGAGACCAGGGGGCTTCTGAAGAAGCAGGGCTAGACCTCTCATGGAAGGCGCTGGCACAGGCTGTCATGGGAAGGACTGATTTTGTAGGCAGCTGCTCCTCCTCTGTCTTCCGTTTGCCCAGCCTGCTGCTTTGCGGTATCATGTCCGTGATGCTGGAGAACTACGAAGAGGCAGAGGTCTTCTTTGAGAATGCCACCTGCTTGGAGCCCACCAGCATTCAGGCCTGGACTATCTTAGGTAGGAGGTGAACTAGCCTTACCCGGTTACCTTGTTGGCGCCATCAGTACTGGCCCAGGTAACCCGGTTCTCACATAAGTATTGCTGTGATTCTGGTTTGGTTCACAATCTGAAATCTTGGTCAGGATGATACAGCCTAGGCATCTTCTCCCCTCCTGGGGGATCCATTCCTTTGTTCCTTCATGGGAAGAAGTCCCAGTGCCCACTAAGGCAGCTGGTCAGTCGAGGGTGTGGCAGTTTGGGGCCTCCTCCTCCTCCCTGAAGTCTCTTGTCATTCCCTCAGGGCTCTTCTATGATATCCAGGAAAATGACATTAGGGTGGAGAATGCCTTTCACGAGGCAATCAAGCTCCAGAAGGCCCGCCTGGCCAGGGAGCAGCCGTCGCTGGAGAGTGCAGACGCAGGAGCCCAGAGGCCCCCTTCTGCTCCAGCTTCAAGGGCGCAGTCGATCATCGCCTCCCGGGATGAGATGGGTGAGCTGAGACGCGGTCTGTGGAACAGTAGCAAAGAGCGGGCTCGCGAAGACGGCGGAGGCGGCCCGCTGCAAGCCACGGCTCCCACCTCTTTTCAGCAATGGACAGGTTGAATGCAGGCGGGCACCTTCTGCACTCTGGGCCATTGCCAGCGGGTGCTTGTGGGTGGCCGTTGTGCTTCGGCCCTGGGGCTGTTACCACATGGTGGTGCCAGCATGCGGGCTGGACCACGGCGCCTGTGCATCGCGGGCGCGCGCAGGAGAGGAGACAGGTGCAATCGTGGGCGCGCTCGTGTGGGGAACACAGGCACCAGCACAGGCCATCTCCCCCCGCCCCCGAGCACAACTGCGATTGCACCTATCTTCCCTGTATGAGCGCGACCGCGATTGTGGCCATCTCCCCATTTGTGGGGAGGGTGAGGAGATGGCCGCGATCATGGGAGCCACCCAATGCGGAGTTTGTGACCTGAGTCAAAATTTGTATGAATTTGGTCCGATTTGGTCGTGAACTGAGGCGCTCGTGAGCCGAGGTTCCACTGTACCTCCTTCCCCCTCTCAATTCTTGACCCCTTTTTTTTTTTTTTTTTGGTGGCTGGGCTTTCCTTTCTGTTTCACATATTGCGTGGCAGAATCACTGCGTTAAATTCCTTCGTACCTTACACACAGCTCGCCCATACTCATTCGAGATTACAGGACAGGGTTTTGGATGTGGCTCAGAGGCAGGTTTCGGGCCCTCATTAACTCTGTTCAAGTTGCAACAGCAGATGCAGCTGCAAGATCAAGGGGGATAAGTAGGCATCAGTAGCCAGAGAAAAGGGGCTTGTTAAAGGGCGGAGAGCAAGCAAGCAGCAGGATGCCAGGCAAAGAAGCAGCCACCTCAGTCCACTGGCACCCAGCTACTAACAAAATGACCACACCATTGCTTGACCCAAGAAGTTCATATAAGGCTTCTAGCCAATCCAGTGATGGGACTTTTGGGGAACAGCAGGAAGGTGGAGAAATGATCCATTGCTGCTGAACAGAAAGTCCTGTTACCCTTTCAGTATATCTCAGGTTGGTTTCTGTTTTCTCATCGCTGCTGATTTCCCTGCAGCTTCCGATGAAGTTCCAGACACTTCCATGAAAACCCAAATGGACTCTCAAGAGCCAGTCATAACCCTCCGTGTGCCTGAAGATGATGCAGCACTCAAGGGAGCCAAAAGGCTGTCCGTAATTTCAAGCAGAACCAAGTTGGGTTCCCTGAAAGGTTGGTGGCACCTAGCCTGGAGCGCGATGAATGACTAAGAGGATGTACTGCCACCCTTGGTGATACAGATGGGCAAAATTGCGTGCCAGGAATCTGTGGGATGCAGCTGCTACGACCCAGTGCATGTGTTCAGAGAGATGTGATCTGGATTGCATCGGCTGAACTAGCTAATGGATGAATGGCCCTACCTATGGGCAGAGTGACTGCCCACAGGGGAATTAAGCCCCCAGCACAGACCCGCCAGGCCAGGCCAGACCAGACTTGGATAAGCGGTCGCCGCTGTTTGTGGCTGTTCTTGGCCGTGCGGGGGCTGGGCTGGCGAGGGACTCTGTCGGTGGGTGGAATTTTTATCGGGAGTAAACGGGGAGTTTTACATTGTTTTAATGTTTTTATTGTATTTTAATCTGTTTTTATGGAGTCGTCCCTGGCTACGTCGATGGTTGAGCTACCTGGGGAGCGTGTGGGCACTGCCATTGGGGTGGTCATGTGCAATGGACGTTACAGCGGTGGGGGTTCAACGTGTCCACATAGAAGAAGGAAGGAAAGATGGCTGACACCTGTCCCTCCTGGTTTTACCCCCAGCCAGAGGGTTCCAGGTAGTCTTGTCAACCGCCCCCTGGGCCTGACGGTGCTGTTGCTTAATGCCAGGTCAGTCCACAATAAATAGTCCCTCATCCACGACCTGATTGTGGATGAGGGGCCGACCTGGCTTGCATAACAGAGATCTGGGCGGGAGAGGGGGGGATGTCGCCCTCTCTCAAATGTGCCCGTCCGGGTATCTGGTTCAGCACCGTCCACGCCTGGAGGGGAGGGGAGGGGGGTTGCTTGGGTTTACCAAGCCTCCATCTCCCTCATGAGGCTTCCAGTCCCTTCAAGGCCGGGACTAGAGTGCCTCTACTTGGTGTTGGGCGACCGAGACAGATTGGGGATTCTGTTGGTGTACCGCTCACCCTTCTGCAGAACAGTATCCCTGCCTGAGCTGATGGAGATCGTCTCGGACCTGGTGTTGAGGACCCCCAGGATGTTGGTCCTGGGGGACTTCAATCTCCACGCCGAGACTGGTCTGACCAGGGCGGCTCAGGACTTAATGACCTCCATGACGGCCATGGGGCTGTCTCAACATGTCACTGGCCCGACCCATGAATGTGGACACACTCTGGACCTGGTTTTCTCAACGGTGCAGGAAGAGGGTGGTCTGAGGGTGAGGAATTTATGTCAGACACCCCTATCATAGTCAGATCAATTCCTGGTGAGGTTTGTGCTTGAGAGCAACCTCTCCCTCTGTAAGGGTGCGGACCGGATTGTGTGGGTCCGCCCCCGGAGCCGGATGGATCCAGATGGATTCCTGAAGGCCCTGGGGGAGTTTCCGGCTGACAAGACTGGTGCTCCTGTTGAGGCTCTGGTTGAACTATGGAATGGGGAAATGACCAGGGCTGTTGACACGATCGCTCCTAAGCATCCTCTCCCGCCGGGCAGAGCCCACTCTTCCCCTTGGTGTACACCTGAATTGTGGGCGATGAAGAGGGCTGGAAGACGTCTAGAGCGTAGGTGGAGGAAATCACGGGATGAATCTGACCGAACACACTTAAGAGCCCATTATCAGGCCTATGCTGTGGCGGTGAGGGTGGCGAAAAAGAAATCCTCCACTTCCATTGCCTCCTCACAATGCTGTCTGGCGGAGCTTTTTCGAGTGGTACAAGGCCTGGTCCGTCCTGGCCCTAAGAAAGATCTGGTTCCACCCACGAAGGCCCACTGTGACAACTTTGCCAAGCATTTCAGGGAGAAAATCACTCAGATTCTTCTCAAGCTGGACTCCACTAGTGACTCAGAGGCTTCTGGGGAGATACCAATGTCGCCATCTGGTCCAAAATTGATAGATGAAATTCAGTTACTGCGGCCTGATGATGTGGACAAGGTGCTTGGACGAGTACGTCCCACCACCTGCCTATTGGACCCTTTCCCATCTTGGCTAATTAACAACGCCAAGCACGGGATAGGGATCTGAATCTTGGAAGTGGTTAACGCCTCTCTGAGGGAGGGCCGGGTACCTGCCCCTTTAAAGGAGGCGGTAGTCTGACCGGTCCTGAAGAAGGCGTCACTGGATCCTGAGATGGCACCTAATTCTAAACCAGTGGCCAACATCCCGTTTCTGGGCAAGGTGTTGGAGCAAGTGGTGGCGGGACAACTCCAAGCACTCTTGGATGAAACTGATTATCTGGACCCATATCAGTCCGGCTTCAGACCCAGGTACGGTACTGAATCTGCCTTGGTCACCCTGTACGATGACCTGTGCAGGGAGAGAGACGGGGGGAGTGCGTCCCTGTTGGTTCTCCTGGACCTCTCAGCGGCTTTCAATACCATCGACCATGGTATCCTTCTGGATAGGCTAGCGGGATTGGGGGTTGGAGGCACGGCTTTGCAGTGGTTCCACTCCTATCTCAATGGTCAATTCCAGAAGGTGATGCTGGGGGACTATGGCATTATGTTCACATGACTCCAGTTCTCCGTCAGCTTCACTGGCTTCCCATTGAAGTCCGGGCCCAATTCAGGGTGTTGGTTATGATCTATAAAGCCCTTAATGGCTTGGGTCCTGGTTACCTGAAGGAGCGCTTACGTCCATATATGCCTGCCCACCCCTTGAGATCAGCGGGACAGGCCCTTCTCCAGGAACCCTCCGTGAAGGATATTAGGAAGGTAAGTACTCAGAGGAGGGCTTTCTCTGAGGTGGTGCCCAATCTATGGAATGCACTCCCCAGAGAGGTCCGCCTGGCACTGTCGTTATTTGTTTTTCGGCACCAGGCGAAGACCTTTTTATTTAAGCGTTATTTTAATTGTTAATATTATTTATTTTATTCTTTGGCCAGGTCGACTCAAATTATATTGTTTATATATTGTGATTATTTATTTATTGTTGTGAGCCACCCTGAGGCTTCAGCGAATGGGGCGGCAGAGAAGCTGCCTAAATAAATGAATGAATGAGCGAGCGAGCGAGCGAGCGAGCGAGCGAGCGAGCGAGCAAGCTGTTTCTTTCATCCTGCTTCTACCAGCCTTGGAGGTCTCCCATACCACTTCAGTGGTGTGCAAGGGACACATGCCAGGAAGGAGAGGCCCCAGGGAAGGTGGAGGAGGTGGCCCCATCTCGGCTTCTCTTTTAGTCTCCCCTTTTCCTCCCCCTCCCTTCCCTAAGAGCAGCATTGCAGCTCCCTTCCTTCCTGTTGCGGATTGAGGACCACCTGCCACAGGCCTCTGACAAGCATTCCTCATGCAGCGTCGGTATCCTTGGGCAAAGCAGGGGCCGGGGTTGGGAGGAGGGCCTGTGCCTTGTTGCTGGGTCACTCCTGTGGAAAGGAAAGATTTCTGCTGCGTAACTTGCAGGGCCCAGTCACCGGAAGCAAACCTAGGTGAGCGGGAGCAGCGGGTTGGCTCAATTTAAGATCTCTTCCAGGTTGGTTTATTAGTGCTATTGAGACACAATTTTATCACAATGAGGTAGCAACAGAATCAGAATTATTTCCTTTGGACAGCAGGAGCTGAACCAACAAAACTACAACTATACCTCTTTCGCGTTTCCTTACTTTGCAGTATAACATACAGTGCTCATTTGGCTTTGTAGTTTAATGATCTGAAACACATACACACATGGCTGCCTTGTCATTCTGTTGATTTGTAAACACCAGTTTGTGGTTGCAAACCCTGTGTGAGGGATTGTGCATGGGTACAGTCGGAAGGAAGGGGGTTAGCTGGTATGCTTTTGCTGTGTTGTCAAATACGATGTTTTTAACTAGAAATTCTTTTGTTTCACAGTTCAGTGGTTCAGTGTCCCAGCAGTTCAGTTTGTTGCTCTAAGAAACTGAACTGTCGAGACCAACGAAAGGCATTTGTGAGTGGCTCTTGATTTTCAAGGGGACCCATTCCATCCCTTAATTTTGTCCCCTTCGTTTCAGAAACAAGCAAAGGGGGCGTAGTTGCATTTGAAACCCAGCCTTGTTCAGTGCCACCTTCCTCGCTGCCCAGCACCACTATCTTCACGGAGACAATAAGCTTCCTGATGGAGGTCAATGCCATCCAGGTGAGTGTGAAATTTGTCTGGCCACAGAAGTAGCTGCACGGTGGTCGTGATCCTCTTCAGTGGGGAGCTAAGCAGGGCTGCAAGCTTTGAGGGGCAGATTAAAGTACATTCCTTAGGGTGTGAGGGATTTTTCTGTGTCAACTTGCAGAGGACTCTGCCCTTAATTAGCTAAAGTTTCAGCCGTTTGTACATGGGGGGCCAATTTTGCATGCCAAGAGCATGTGCTTTTGTTTTTGTGCTGTGCCGTTTTGATTGTAGATGTGCTTGCTTGTAAGGGAGAATGAAAAAGGAAACCATCAAGAAAGCGCTTCTTCCTGGCAATGAGTGGTAGCTTTTTTTGTTGCCCACCCTCACAGCTGGGCTGCAGCTCCAGGGCTGGTCTCTCCCTCTCAGTTTGTTCGCAGAGCATTAGCTCATGAGCTGCTCTGCCCTCAAGGAGGCCCTAGCTGTGATTACTACCTGGTGCTGGCTCAGATGTACCTGCTCAAGAAGGAATACGACAAGACCGAAGAAAGCCTCGAAATGGCGGTCCAGATCGACTACCTGGCGAGTACCTCTTGGCAGCATCGTGCTGGTCCTCACTGCCCCAAAGGGGGAGGCACCTCCAAAACCCCGTGCCCACGGGAACTCGGAGTATCTTCCCACTGATGCCACCAACTCTGTGTCTGTCTGTCTTTTCACATGTTTCCTCTGCATCTGTGTGTGCACGTGTAATGTGCACGCACTCGCATCAGCTGAGGATAGCACTCCACGAAGACTCCAGTCCATAAAAACTTAATCCAAAATGGCACAGGTCTATTTTGCTTTGCTTTGCTTTGCTTTGCTTTGCACTGCAGCAGACCTCCACAGCCACCCCTCTGCTATAGAGCACGTGTCCAACTGGCAAGGCCTTGTGGCATTCAGCCCTAGTTTACTGAGCTGAAGAACCAGCAGCAGCTTGCACCAGAGAGCGGGGGCAGAGCTTGTGGCCTGTCCAAGCAGGCCACAAGCCCCTTTGGCCTGTGCCAGAGTCCGTCTGCTAGCTGAAGCCCTTCTCTGGTGGCTTCTTCTACGGAAACCTCTGAAAATTTCAGAATTCATCACTGCCATTCTGTTTGTGCAGAATCCAGAGGTGTGGGCCCAGAAAGGCCATCTCTGCTACCTGACCGGGAACTTCAGTGAAGCAAAGGCCTGCTATGAGCGAACCATCAGTTTCGTAACAGATGCAAAGGATATGCATTTTGTGTACCTGCGGCTGGGATCCATCTATCTGGAGGGGAAGGAGGTGAGGCACTGAAATAGGTGGAAAAAGAGGAGCACTGGGCGAGCTGGTGATCTTGGCGCGATAGCTAGATGAAGCCTCCATATGTGGGGGCAGTGTATCTCTGAATGCCAATTGTTTGGGGGTTGGGCAACAACGGGGGAAGGCTGATGCCTTTTAGCCTTGCTTGTTGACTCCCAGCACTCGATGGCTGCGTGAAATAGGACACTGCAGCTAAGCCTTTGGACTGATCCAACAAGGTTCTGGATACGTTCTGCAAACTTTTCTTGCTTCTGCTGAAAAGCATGATAAACAATGCAGTTTATTATTGTGAAAGCAGTTGAACAATGGAGGACGGGAACACAGCCCAGTTTTCTGCTATTGATTCCAAAGATTTTTGTGCTGCCTTGAGAAACTCGCCTCTGGCAAGTGTGTTTTTACTGTAATCTGTGGATAGGCTTTTCTTGGAAGGGTGGCCTGCAGAACACTTCTGTCAAGTCAAGACTCAACACTGCTGGAGTGCAGTGTAAGTCGCTGCGGCGTAGAGAGTAACTCACCCGTCTCTTCTTTTGGCAGTATGACAAAGCAAAGTACATTTACCTGATGGCCAGTAAGAAATTGCCTTCTTGTCTTACGTGGCTGGGCGTGGGAATTGCCTGCTACAGGGTAAGAAGCAAAGCTGCTTTCGACACGTGGTTCCCTAGCTCAGTGGCAGAGCTCGTGCCTTGCAAGCAGATGCGCACAGGATGACTCCCTGGCATCTCTTGGTGGGATTCAGAAAGACCCGTGTCTGCCCGTCATTGCAGGCGGTCCTGAGCTAAATGGACACCTAGCCTGGCTAAGGCACTTTCCAGTGTCCATCAGCCGGCTGCTGGGGGCAGCGTCTGCGGGGCTTGGTGCTCGCTCCGCTTTGCACAGACACCATCGGTCTGTGGTGCCCTTCTCTGAGCAGTTGTGCCATCTGGGGATCACCATGCTGCCATACATTCTGCAGCATTTCATTCTGTTTCATTTTTCTTCTGCCTTTGCACTGACCTTTAAGGGCAAAACGAAATGAGGGAGACAAGATCTGTGAACAGGGAAATCCCATCTATGAACAGGGAGGAAAAGCAGTTGGGCAGGTGGGCATCAGGACTGAGGTACAGATGGTGCTGCCAGTGGAAGGTTGTTTTCCACCCCTCCCCAGTGTCTTCTCAGCAAAATCTGCTCCTGCTCTTCATTCCAGAAGGCATATAACAGCTTTTCTTTTGTGGGGCGTGGCAGGGGGATTCTGGTCAGGAGGGTAACCCTCCCCACCACCCTGGGAGCCAGCGGGGTGGCCAGATGGAACGGGCTGCCGCGGGAGAGGGTGTTCAAGGTAGGGTAGGCATGTCATGAGTGGAGCTGACTGGAGCCGGGGGTCAGACTAGATGGCCCGCGAGAGCCCTTCTTACTTGCTCTGTTTCTATCATTCATGTCTAAAAAGGGTTGCCAGAGCTTGGTCCTCAGCCATGCAGAGCCGTGACCAAGAAGGCAGTGCCTGAGAACACGTGCAGTCTCCTCTCATCTCTGAGCTGCCAGTGTTTCCCTGTACATTCATGATCACCTCTAAACAGGTGAAGAAGGACTTCTTCTAAAGTTCAGTAGTTCATTGTTAGCTAACCATACTATTTCTTCCCTGAAGCTCAAAGAGATGGTGGAGGCCGAAGACGCCCTCTCCGAGGCCAATGCCCTCAACAACAACAATGCTGAAGTCTGGGCATACCTGGCTCTGGTCTGCATGCAGGTGAGTCCCAAAGGGCCCCTTTATCCATCAGCTCACGGGATCCTCTGCTTTTCTCCGCAGCAATCTGGGGACAGAGGTGGGTGAATGCAGGGGTGCTCTCAGCGGAAACAGGCACTCAGGTACTCTGATATCCTAACTTGACACCGTTCTTGTGTCCAAGACAGCCTTATCTTCCACTTGCAACACAATCTTCCTTTTGTCAGCTGTAATCCTTGTCTTGTCTTTCTCAGGAAGTCAGCAAATAGAATCATCCTGGGGGAAAGTGTTCCTTTTCTGTCTATTCTTGCCAAAAATGGAATTAGCCCTTTCAGTATCAAACAATAGCAACCTTGTCTTGGCAAAACCAACTTAAAGTGAATTGCTGTTTTTCAGGGAGGGAGGCAACTGGAGTCAGAACAATCATACAAATATGCTGTTAAGGTTTGTTACTTTTTCTCCTTTCCTCCTGTGTTAGATTTATGGAAAAGTGTAACATTTTGGCTTTGCAGTATCAAGCAGGTTGATCAAGCGGACCCCACACATTGGAGCAAGGACTAAGTCATTCACTGTTACATTTTCAAAAAGGAGTATTTCACATTTTTATGTATTTTTGAAAAGCACAAATGAAAAACAAAAACAACATTAGAAAAGCAAACATGAGCGGCAAGTACAATCAACAGTGATCAGAAAGCCAGGCATGAGAAAATTAAAAATCTGCCAAAACAAACAAGCATTTAGTTGGGGGCAGAACATAACTGGAGAGAAGGCAGAGATTTCTTCATGAGCATGATGTTCCACCGCCCTGTGCAACAACCAAGAAGGCTTTTGCACATATTTCCACCACAGTGACTTCATCTGGAAGTGGGGTGAGCTAAGGGGCCCTTCTAGATGATCTAATTAAATTACCACTCCCACCATCTCAAAAAAATGGGTGCGCGTCAAACCAAAACTAAAGCATCTTTTTTTAACATGCATTCTTCTGGAAATAAGAAGCTATTCTTGCAGGCTTCAGGGTGCAAACAAAATGCATCTTTCTGTAATGTGCAAAAAAATACTCATTACCAGTTTCCCTGCATGGTGAAAAGTAAAGAGCAGCAGAAGGCCAAAATGAGTGTAGTAAAAGCTAAATTACTAAGGTGCCTTGTGTGCACTTACATGGGCCTAACCCCCATTTATATTAATGGTACTTACTTGAGAGGAGATGTGCATAGGATTGCGCTAAAAATTGCGCTAAAAACAGTGAATTGGTCTCCAAAATACTACTTTGAGTGCATTTAGAAACAGAAACAGAGCGAGTCAGAAGGGGGTCTCCTGGGCCATCTAGTCGGACCCCCGCCTCCAGCCAGCTCCGCTCACAACATGCCCACCATGTGCATGTCCTGCCTATCCTTGAACACCCGCACTGATGGGGCCTCAACCACCTCCCGTGGAAGCCCATTCCACACCCTCGGGGTCCTAACTGTCAGGAAGTGCTTCCTGGCCTCCAAATGGAACCTTGGCTCCCTGAGCTTGGCTCTGTTGGAGCGCGTCCTGCCCTCCTCTTTAGGGAAACAAATACAGAAAGGGCGGCTCAGTGTCCTGATGCAAATTGCTTTAAAAGCAACAGTGCAGTAGATCTCATCTTGTAGTCTAACTATTCGCATAAAGAAAAGTGGGGCACATATCTCGGAAATGTAGTTGAATTAAACAAGTCACTCCCGAGTCTGCCGTTTCTGCTTACTGCTGTCTCACCACCCTGACGTGACAGATGTTATCAGACAGCAGCCTTTGGCAGACTGACAGTGAGACAATTTCTGCTTTCTTTTGTGGCCTTGATGTAGGATTAGCTGGCCTAGGTGTCCTCCTTGAACCAACGCATGCTTAGATCTTTAAATAGTGGCTTGATTTGTGCCTCAGTGTCACCCTTTCTCCTTTAGCTGCAGCTGGAGCTTGTCAACAAGGATTTGTTCCAGGAGATCAAAGAGGTGCAAGCAGCCGTTGGCTTTGGTGATCCGTCTTTCTGAACTCCTTCGATTTATGGGCACTTCTGCCTGAGCCAGGGGGATGAACAAACCATTGGTGTTACACCACAGGAAGTGACACCAGATGCTTGCCAGTGGGCAGGCCACAATCCCTCGAGATGCTGGCACTAGCTACATCCAGCGTTCATTGTACAAGGGTCATTGGAATTCCAGGCAGCAGCTTTTTAAATTCCCGAGAGCAAGAGGAGCATCCTGGGAAACACGGGCATCTATCCTGGGAACATCCCGTGCTCATGGCAAGGATCTACCCATGTGGAGGCCTCACTGTCAGCCACATGGGCTAGGAGGGAACTGAAAGAGCCCTGATGCTGCCTGCCCAGGTTCCTGAAATTAAAGACATCCGAATATCAGCATAAGTAAAGTTTATTCTAACACACGTGTCAGTTCTGTGTGTGCGCACCCACGCATGTGCGTACAGCATCAATACAGTGTGTGCAAAAGGGCAGGACTAGGGCAAAGGTCAGTTTGGAGGACCCATTGTGTGATATTGGGATATTCCCAGATCACCTTTAATTTGGGGGATACTGGAGCTCAGAGCTGAAGCAAAATAACTAGTAGAAGACAGAGCCTGACACAATGCTTTGCATGACCTGTGGGATGATGCCCATGAGTGCCAGCCCATTGAGAGATTCGTCAGATGGGCTCACCTGTGGAAACAGCTTGTGGGATAAGGATGCTGCCAATATAGTTTAGGGATGAATGTTACTTTGGTTGCTGTTGCAATGATTCAGTTCTGTTTTATTTTTAAATTGCTTTGTGGAAAGGAAGGATATAGTTTGTGCAGACAGATACACAGAGGAGCTTAGGAGTAGACAAAAAAATGCCTTTCGCAGTGTCCTTTGCAGACTGCAGTCCTTTGTTAGGCTTACCTGCGTTAAGCCCCACTGAACTTAACAGAACTTACTTTCAAGAAAATGCACACAGGATTTTGCTACTAATTAACTGCTCCTTTTTCCCTATGCATGTGTTTATGATTAATTTCTGTTGTAGTTTTTTTTAATGGCCCACTTTTATTTTCTTTGGTGCAAAGCAGGAAAGGATGCATTTTCCAGAGAGCTGTTATTAAGTTCAATTTAAAGAATGTATACCTGACATACCTATGACTATGTAAAGAAAAACAAGTAAAATGGAATTTGAGAATGGGCACACAAGCCTTTGTTTTCCTTCCAGAATGCCTTAGCAACAATGCCTTGTGCATAGATCAGAACAAAGATCCTTCTGGATTTTCATAAGCTTTATGTGGTGGGGTTTTTGTCTCTCGGTTTCTAATATCTGAATCCCAAAAACTCACATGAAGCAATCTTGAACTTCTCTAATTTGTTATGGAATGTGTTCTGTTTGGGATTTTTAGGTGAAATGTTGTTTATTTAGGATGGGTGCAGCTGATGGAAGAATTTTTCTCCTTCATGATTCTTTTTGGTGTTTTGCGGTTCACATTCATTTCTGAGAGAGATGCAGGAGTAACACCTAATAAATTATGCCCTTTAGATTTTCCCCTGCCTACCAGCCCTGTCAAAATCTATTATGTGAGATCTGAAGTTCAGACTAGATTCTTTCTAGCTCACATGTCCTTACTTTAGTCAATAGTCCACAACTGAAATAGGATGGCAATTCTTTTGCAGTTTTATGTGCCATAGGAGCTGGAACATCTTCTGTCTCACTTTTAGCATTTTCCCAAAAAGTTAACAACATGAGCATTATAGATTTTAAAAACAATAAACCTGACATACTTAGAAAACAATTTCTGGAGCTAGAATTTCTATATTTAAAATATACTTTGATTTATATTTTTTGTTAACAGTACTGACAACAATGTGCTTTCTATAAAAATATGCACAACTAAAGTGTGATATGGGGGCCAAGGGTGTTGGACTTAGATTAGGGAGGTTCTGGTTTAAATACCTGCTCAGCCTCCAGGTTCACTGGATGATGGTTGGGTCAGTCACAGTCTCTCTCAGCCAGCACTCCTTCACAGAGTAGTCGTAATAATATGCTTCTCTCTGCCCACTTGTGGGGAAGGCTGGGAAGAAATGGTAACAAATACTATCTTATCAATTGCTGCAAAGCAGTAGCAAGAACAGCAGCATCATAAAACTGAGCTTTAAGCGCATCGTTTAGCAGTGGAATGCTTGAAGTGATTAAGCCTATAAAATATCACTAGAATTAGAACCCTTGTGGCCCTCACTTCAGGAAGAGAAAAGGCACAGAGTGCCAGTCAGTGGTAGCAGTTTTGCTTTTCACACCTGCCTCCTTTTTAAAGGGTTAAAATGCCCCACTTTAAGGCTTAGTTGCTGTCAGTATACGTTGGAAGCTAAAATACGCCATTTGCTTCCTTCCACTGGAGATTCTGTGCAGTTGGGCCCTCTGGGGAAAGAGGTTCTGCATTTTGGCTTAACATCTTTTCTCTCTCCATTCAGGGAGGTGGTATTATATTTAAAAAAGCGTACAGGAATATTCAGAACGAAAACCTCCTGAATACATCCCACGTGCAGCGTGAGACAGGCCACTCTGTTTGAAGTGTCTCTCAGCTTTGGAGGGCATGCCCTCAAGCCGACTTCTCAGAGTCTTGTTCCCAAAGAGAGAAGGTTCAAATCCTGCCGAGGAACATGCTTTTCCAATCTGGCAGGGTGACTTTCCAGCCTGCGGTGCAGCCCCTGCTGATGGTCTTCTGTTTGCTGAGTGTGAAGCTAGCCTAACCGACTGCTTGAAGGCATATAAAGACAGCAGCAGCAGGCACCACCGTGGGCCCTGGCATATGGTTTCCTCTCCAGTGCGAGGCCCACCATTGGCCTCAGCACATCCTGCCTGCGTTTTTAGGAGGTTGTCAAGGGGAGTGAGTGCACACACCCCTTTCAGGCGGAGGGACTTTGATCCTGGAAGACACCCTCTGCTCCTCTTTCCTAACAGTGCCAACCCTTTCACAGGAAAGCTACTTGAGGATTTGCCACACAGAAGGTCCCTGGAACAAGCCCCAGCTGGTGCAGAATGTGGGCCCCACGGGCTGAACATATAATTCCAGTTCTGGTCCACTTGCACTGGCTGCCTGTATGTTTCCAGTCTCTGCTCACGGTGCTGGTTTTAACCTATAAAACCTTACATGGCTGAGGACCACAAACCTGTGGGAGCCCTCGCCCAACCCTGGTCTACCCGGACACGGCACTCGAGCTGTGGGGCCTTCCTCTGGGTGCCTGCTCTGAGGGGAGTGCGGAGGGTGGCAACAAGGGGGCTTTCTCTGTGGTGGCCCCCTTTCTGGAAGGAGTGTCTCACTGTGGCCCACCTGGCACTGGCTCTGACATCTTTTCAGCACCAGGTTAAGACGGCTCTCTTTTCTGAGGCTTTAAAAGACTCACTTGGCCATCCAGCAGCTGTGGGGGGGGGGGGGGGTTTGCCAGCTGTTTTGCAGATACATTGTTTTGCTATTCTTTGTTTTTGTCTGTTTTTATTTGTTTTTAGCTGTTTAATTTCTTAAAATATCTTTTATGATTTTATAAGATTTTATTGTGTTTTATCATCTATTTTTATGGACTCTGTAAACCAGGGGCCAGTGCTGCTTCTCTGGGCCACACTGGAAGAAGAAAAATTGTCTTGAGCCACACATTAAATACACAAACACTAACGAAAGCTGATGAGCAAAATAAAAAAAAAGTCTGTGCATAATTTTCATGATACCTGCCACCACAGAGAAGCAAAAAAGTCCTTACATAATAATCCTAATTGTGCAGCGCCCTGTTCAGGGAGACTTTTAAAACTGGCAAGCAGAAAAGAGAACATGTTGGAACTAGTGGGATATTTGACACTGTATTTGAGAAACTAATGCAACGCTATCTGGTTCGATGGAAGTACTTGAAATTCTCCGTGAGTTCTCAAGGTGCTCATCAGATATTTTGGTTCTAATTTTACTCTTGCTCACAAATGTAGGTGCTGCCAAAAAGTGAAGACACAAATAAGGTGTGACTGTAAAGCAAGGGATATTAATCTTGGGGAAGATAAGACCTATAAACGTCCATGATCAAATTTTATTTTAAGTTGAATGTCAGATTGCAGCCCCATGCATTTCACTTGAAAATTGGCAGGTAACATATTTATATCGACTGAAAATGGAGTCACAATTATACCAAAATAGTGATTATTTTCCCAGAAATCTTGGAATCTGTTTTCAAATTCTTGTATCAAATTGAAAAGCAAGGCTGCGTATTTTTCGCTGTTCACAGGATTGTGTTTAGCCAACGTGTCAAAATGTATAAAATTGTTTGCAATGGTAGGTTGAAATATTACTGATAATAGCTGCGTTCACTCGCCAAGTCACCATGTAATGTCTGATGGTGTCGGTTTGGACTGTGCTTGGAAGATAACACACTGGAAGCCACACACCACCATAAAACTGAAGCCATGAATGTGCAGAAGGAGCAAGAGCGTACGTACATTCATTTAACGTGACATTACAACACGACGGCATCTACAAAGTTCACATTTGTGAACTGCGCAATTGAGTTACAAAAAAATAGCAAAAAATCCCATAATGTTTTAAGTTGACAATTTTGTGTTGGGCTACATATTTTTATCCATTCATACCCATCCTGGGCTTCTTTACTAACCCACAGGATGATCTCTCCTTTCATTCCTTGATAAGTTTGCTCAGGAGACTTTGGTAAGGGACTTGATTAAAACCCTTTTCAAAGCCCCAAATAAATGTTGGATCTGCCTTGTCTATACCTTTATTAACACTGTCCGATAATTCTTAAAAGATAAGTGAGAGTAGAATGGTGTAGTGGTTAGAGGGTTAGACTGGTCCTCAGAAGATCCAGATTTTAATCCCCCCTAGCTATGAAGCTAACTAGGTGACTTTAGGCCAGTCACTGAGTCTTAGCCTAACCTACATTACAGGGGTGTTGTGAGGATAAAGTGGAGAGGAGAAATTATTTATGCCATGTTGGGTTCTTCACAGGAAAAAGATGGGATATACATATAACAAAAGTTACATCAGCCATAGGGTGGCCATGGGTCAGGGGAGCGTCCTGCATTTGCAATTGGCCTCTATTTGAAGGGTCTCCCAGTCTAAGTCCCATTTAAAGAGAGAGGATCCCAAGCAGAGTCCCAAGCTTGAATTGCAATGGAGCTGGCAAGGTACCTGATGTCTTGCATTTCTATTTAAATCACATCAACCGTGTTAGAAAGTGCCCCTCTCATGATGCAAATTTGGTTGCACACTTTGTCCTCTGCTTTTTGATAAGGAGGAAATGTCCCCCTCCAAAGCTTTTCTGGAGTGTGCCTTTCATTGTCTTTCCGCTACTTCAGAAGGCACCCCACTTGGACATTCATTCATTCATTCATTCATTCATTCATTCATTCATTCTATATCCCATCTTTTCTTACGGGGGACCCCCCAGCGGTTTCCATCATTCTCGTCCCCCTGCTCTGCATCCTGTCCTCACAAGAACCATGAGAGGTAGGCTGGGCTGAGAGCCTGTGGCTCGCCCGAAGTCGCCCCGTTGGCTCCATGCGTGAACAAAGGCTGGAGCCCAGGTGGCCCGGAGCCCAGCCCGCGCTCGGAGCCCCGCACGGCCCGTCCCCCAAGCGCGTCCCCCCGCGCCGGCCGCCAGGCGAGCGCCGCTCGCGGCACCCACCAGGGCGCTGGCCGGGAGGTGGCGCCACTGCACGCCCCGCACAGCCATCCCTGGCCACGGAGGGGGAAGCCGCGCTTTCCCCGCCGGTCGCCAGGTGGCGCTGGGACGCTCCGGGAGCTCTATGGCGCGGGTTAAGCACCGGAAGCGGAAGTAGCGAGGAGGCGGTGGGCGGGGAGAGCGCCGCTGCGCCGAGCGAGCGGGGAGCTGTCAGGAGGCGGGAGCGCCGTGGCGGCCCTGGACGCGGCGGCCATGAGGCGGGATGTGCGAATCCTCCTGCTGGGGGAAGGTAAGCTCTGTGGACGCCCCCCCCCGACTCAATTAGCAGGGCGGCTGGGAGGGCGCTGCCGCCGCGGAGGAGGCCGAGGTCCTGGGGTGGGCCGGGGGCGCGCTGAAAGTCTTGAAGGGTGGGGTCCAGGGTGGGCGCGCTAGAGATTCCTCAGGGGAGGGGGCGTGGGGAGGGCCCGGGCTGATGGGAGGGGGGGTCGAATCAGAGGGACTCTAGAGCTAGGAAGGGGTGGGGCCAAATATTCCTTAGTGGGTGGAGTTAAGGAGTGGGCGGGGGTCCTTGGGACCTCAAGGTGTGGATGTGATCAGAGATTTTTTAGGGGTGAGGTTAGAGGCCATGGGTTCCAGATGACGGGGGTGTGATTGCATGCGAGGAGGCTTTTGAGGGCATCTGAGAAGGGTGCAGATGGAGGCAGCATAGTTCATAGATATTTGAAGAGAACATAATCCCAGGTGGCTGCCCAGTGTTTTTCATACAGCAAACTCACATGGATACTTTTGGGTTTATAATGCTAAGGCTTGGTTAGGGTAAGGGTAGGCACTCTAATGTCCTTCAGGTGAACAGAACTACAGATGCTTGATTATGGGCCATGATGGCTGGGCACAGTGATATCTTATGAAAGTTTATGCCTCGAGCTTATGTCTTTGAAACGTTGTAAAATTCTTTGATAATGATTTAGTCTTTATCAATTGGCCAGGATGCTTATCTGCCAAATTATGTTCAAATCTCCTTATAATAAAAATGGGGAAGTGGTTGAGGGGAGGGTAGAATAAATGGAAAGTAGTCCAAAATGTAGCAATAAAAATGAATGTACTTTTGGAAAGGCAGAGTACACAGACTCTAAGTAAATAAACCAACAACATATTCAGAGGTCCTACTACAACTTTTTTGAAAACAAAAAAGCCGGACATGTAAGATATGGGAGAAAGTGGGAACAAACATTTGTTTAAAAATCTGGAAGGAAAAGAAAAACGAGGCACAGCTGGGGGAGGGTCACAACTGGGAGGAATGTAGAAGAACCAGAGTGATGAAGAATCACGAAGGCAGAATGAAGAAAGGAGCAAAACAATTATAACTTTGGTATTTCAGCAGTAGGTTTTTGTGGAGGCTGAGAGAACTGAGGGTCAAATCAGAAACTTTCCAGATTCCTTCTCTTCCATGAACTCTCCTGGAACATGTTGTTATACAGATTGCAACTAAATAATGCAAGCAAAGCACTTTGAACCAACAAAAACACTCTATAGGTAGTCATGGTAACAGACAAATGACCAATATTTTTGTCCTGCTTGTTTCATTAGTATTAGTATTTTGACGGTATCATTTGATTGGAGTGATTCCAATGTTTTGACTATGGGTGCTGAAGAGATTTTCATTCTTTCTTTTGGCCTAACATATGACAGGCTACATAAACTTCCTTCTCCAAAAGAATGTTGGTGTGGAAGAACCTTTGAAAAACACAGGGAGTGGGGCAGGAAAGGCACTTGAGAGTAATGGAGGTGGCATTCACCATGCCTCTGAGGACCAGATGCATTGTGTTTAAATCCCAACTAGTCTGTTTGGTTCTACTGGAGAAGGGAGAAGTATGGAACTTCAAGTTCTAGATCATACAGCATGACCATCCTAACACCTACAATTTTTCCAGGCCCTGCATTACATGTTGGAAAAAGGCTTTCCTGGCTGAAAGATGTGATCAGTCACTTGTGAAGGTGGAGTCTGTGGACCCACCTGCACATCGCACAACTTCACATGAGATCGCAGACTTGGCAGCATCCACAGGCCCAGTTGCATGTGGCACAACTGTTGACAAGTTGACTCTGAGGAAGGTTGTGCACTGCCACACAGTTGATTTTCCTCTTCCCGGTCTAAACTCTAGGCTAACACAAATCTTTTTGGGTTAGTAACTGTTGTGGACTGAGATACAGTTTTCCCTGGATGGCATTGCTGTAGGTGCTGCATGGGTATCACATTATACATGCACCCATGTGCAGGATGGAGTACCAGATTCCATCCATCCTTTTAAGGCAGAACAGATGCAGACCTGCTCAATTACTTGAGTAAGAAATTGCCTTGTGAGATCACAATAAAACTTCAGTGAATGCTTTTTATAATGTGTGGAACCTTCCCCTCTACATAGTATTGGGATTTGGAAGTGGGCCATCCTGCCTGTCAAAATGTAGCCTGAAACTCTTCTGCCTAGCATGCTTTCTATTTGCAAGGTTTTTACAGGAGAGCATTTCTACATGTTACATGAGAAACATAAACTGGGGGAGCACGACCGGTGACCCAGGAGATCTCTTTTGGAAACCTCAGCAACAGACTCACTAATCCCTCAGCTCATTATCTACAGTGGTCTACCTTGCTGGGCTGTTGTAAGGATTCTGAGAAAGAGTTGCATGCTGTAGCATTTGTACAACACATGTCAAAAGTTCAACTATTGCTATAATCCACCACCCACCTGTCCTCCAAAATGGTGCAGCCCAGCAAACAGAATGTGGTTTTGCTGTGAGCGTAGATTAGCTCTTTATCTTTCAGAGTTGCCTTTAGGACACAGAGAATTCAGAGTGTCCTTCCATAGGCAATCTAAAAGTGTGGGGCAGGGCTGGTGGATATTCTTAGCTTGTAAGGTTGGCCTCCTTTATGACTCGTGTGCCAAGCCTCCACCCAGGGAATAGCTGACCCCCAGTCTTGGCACACCAACTTGTGGAGGATTTGTCTGCCACAGAGTTGTGTCTAAAATTAGGTGCATCCTACCTGTAATCGGGAGGGTTTCCATGTGGCCTGCTGCCTCATGGGTGGCAGTAGAGAGGGAAGCTGGATATTATGCAGGAGAGGCATGGAACAGATGGGGAAGGCCAAAGCAAAAGGGGTATTGGACTGAGAGTGCATTACACTGAAGCTTAGGTTTCTATAGGCATGTGGAGGGCCACTGAGCGAACAGAATGCTAGATGAACTAGATGAGCCTTGGTCTGATCCAGCAGGCCTGCTCTCATGTTTGTGTTTGATCTAAATGTTTATGCCCAGATTTTGAAAAGACCTGGCTTAGCCTTGTAAGCGGGGTTGAGCTTGTCTTGATCATATGCTGTCTTGCTCCATAAGACAGGGGGATGTCCCCAGAAAGCCACGTAAGTCCCGGGATGATTGTGGGAATGGCTTTCCTTGAAGCACTAACTGAGAAGCCCACCCAGACAGTTCAAAAAGTGCATGCATGCGCTTTCAGCATAGATCACAGTCATGTTCATGGCATCGCTTTGTTCCATCTTTCTCTGTCATTCCTCCTTAACATTTTTGCAGTTGGCATCATCATCATTTTGGAGGGTTTTTGAGTTTTGAAACAGAGTCAGTCCACCATGTGCTCCGCATTCTTCTTACTTGGAGTTGTGTCTAAATGCTTCCTCTGGAGAGCCGTTGCAGAAAGATGCTTGCCTCCAGAAATCCCTCCTTCACCCCGGTATTTATGTAAGCAGAACAGGGGCAAAGGGATGCATCCCTTTCTTCAGTCTTAGAGGGAGAGCTGCATTCCCTGCCCCCTGAATTCTAGTGCTGTTGTGTCCCATCTTCCCAAATTCTGTACTGGGGATAATGAGAAGAAAATCGAGAGGGTGTCACTCCCTTGGAGGCCTGTTTGTAATTGCCAGCCCAGCTTGTGGAAATTGGTACCAAGAATTAGGCACTGTGTCCTTGACAGTTTGGTAAATGTGAACGGCCATTTTTCAACTGCGCATGAGCACAAGCACAAGGTGTTTTTTTCTTTTTACTTTGAGAATTCCAGGTTCACATCATTACGTCCCAATGATACAAGGCGTGAAGGGGCAGGAGCTTCAGTTGAGCTGCAGGATCTCAAGCTCAGCTTCTCTTAAGTTAACGCTGTTTCATAAAAGAGCAGTCAGAGCAGCTGATAGGCAGAGCACAGAGTTACAACAAACTGCATTTTTCATACTGAGTTGGCTGTAGACAACCTTTTCAAATATTAATAATCTTTTTCTCTAAAACAAACACAGCTGGGTGTCTCTCCTCTGCTGAGAGCAGTTACTGTTCACAGTTACGGCCCGAGGCATTGCGTATTCTCAATTATCAATGTTCTTGTAAGGGTGTGTGTGGTAGCATTTTGAGGGCTTTGGGGATTTTAGACCCCAAGTGGGAAACTTTAAGCTCTAGTTTGTTCGTTTGTTTCTTGTTGTTGACCATGGCTTCACTTGGGGATGACTGCGTACACAGAGAGCATAGGAGGAGGCATTTCCACCCCTCCCCCCCAAAAAAGTCTTCATGTATTTCCCACTGGTGCCATCACTTGGCTCTTCCAGAATTCTGGAAGTCTTTTATCTGTTCTAATTTTCAGCTGTGGTTGATGCAAACCTCATAAATGAGCTCATAAAAATTGCCAACCAGCCTGCTTCTCCAGGCCAAAAAACTTCTTTTAGGGTGTAGTCCTATACAAGTTTAGATTGAGAAAAACTTGTTGGAGAATCCTGAGCATTTTAGGACTTGTTTCTGTATAAACATGAATTAGATTGCGCCACTAGTAATTCTAAAGGAACACCGGACCCTTTCCTATTTCTAGGTGGCAGTTGTATTCCTTCTGACTTTCTCCTTTACCTTCTATCCCAGCAAGCCTCTTTGCACTCTACCTACCCTCTCCTTTTATTCTCACTCCCCCCCCCACTTTTTCCCCATTTCTTTACCTGTAAAACTGTGACCATGGCCATGTCTTTCTATGCTCCGTGTGGTTCAGATCAGGTGTTTATACATAGCAAAAGATGATGAATTGATGGCCCATGGCCTGTAGCATCAGTGTAGAGCTCAGATCTGGCAGATGCTTTGGCGTGTAGTTCCCAGGATTGCTTACAACTGGCTTGGCCAAGTAAGGTAACCAGATGTTTGTGGCCAGAACATCTGGAAGGTCACAAGTTACCCACCTCGGCTGCCCGTCTGGGCATGAACATTGCAGGACATATGTAAGAATTTCTGATCAGGGATAGAAAGGGATGGGTGTGGAGCCTGCAGAGGGCTGGATTAGGCATGCAAAGTGGAGCTTGCCGAGCATCAGACTCAGGGTGAAGTCAGCCCTCGGGGTCTCCACAGAAGGCCCCATCCCTTTACCTGTACCCTTTACCAGTTGTTTGGCAGATTCCTGGCCTTGGTAGTCTTTTCACCCGCCTCTGAAAGGCTGATACACCTCTTCTGAGCCTTACCTGCTGGCCATAAGAGCTTAAAGCTAAAACGTGGTGGCATTTTTGTACTTTGGTTATTCCTGTAACCCTAACCTTTTCCCCCTTTCATCTATGGCATGGGTCCTCAAACTGCAGCCTGTGGGCCATATTCGGCCCGCCTCACAGGTTTTGGTCTCACCACAAACGCAAGGCGGCCGCTTGCTCGCACGGAGATCATTTTGGACTCGCTTGGAAAAAGCAATCTCCACGCAAGCAAGTGGCTGCTTCGCCCTGCACACGCCCCCCCGCACTCACTTTGCCACGCAGCGCTGCACGCGCCCCCTCCCAGCACCGCCTTGGTGGCCCACGCCCACCGCTGACACCTTTCAGCTGGTCCCCTGTTGAAAAACTTTGGGGACCCCTGATCTATGGAATCTCCCAGTATTTCCCCCCCCCCCCCGCAGGTTATCTGAAATGGAATTCTACCCTGGGTTGAAAGAGCCTGAGAGCCAGTGTGGCGTCGTGGTGAAGAGCGTAGGACTGGGACTCAGACGATCTGGGTTCTAGTCCCCGCTCAGCCATGGAGCCAAGTGGGTGACTTTGGGCCAGTCACAGACTCTCAGCCTAACCTACCTCACAGGGTTGTTGTTGTGGGGAGAAGATGGAGGAGGAGAATGATGTAAGCTGCCTTGAGCCCTCTGTAGGAAAAAGGCAGGATATAAATCAGAAAAAAACAAACAAACCCAGGCATATAAGAGAAAGAGAACCAACTCCCTTCCCAGCTGGCACTACAAGCAAAGACATTTCCTCCCGTCACCCTTTTGCATTCCTGCCTTCCTCAGTGCACGCTTAAGTGTGGCACAGGACACACATCCAGCCGGTTCAATGGCTCAGTGCATCATTTGGTGAAAGTGGGGCTGTGCCTTCCCATCTAGGTCCCTCGCTGTTGAACGCAACCAGTGTTAGACCAAGGATCCTGCGACCTGCAGAGCTAAAAGCCGCGTGAACCATGAGCTTCATCCCCGCCCCCTCCATGTGAACTTGCAGTGCTTCAGTGTAGTGAGAGGGCCGAGTCCCAGCCCAAGAATCCTGAGTCAGAGAATCCCGACTCAGCCATGAAGCCCACTGAATGGCCTTGCGGGCTCTTCGCTGCTCTCGCCATCTCCTGGCCTACCTCACCATGCAGAGCTGTCGTGAAAACAAAATGACACAACTGCCGTGTGGCAGGCTGCTGTGCTGCGCTGGCTTTTCTTAACCTGAGAATCCCTGCAACGATCTGAATTTTGTCTTCTCTCTTTCTCTCATAGCCCAGGTGGGGAAGACCTCCCTGATCATGGCGCTGGTGGGTGAGGAGTTCCCTGAAGAGGTGAGTAGAAAGTGGCACTTTTTCCTTTTGGTGTGCTAAAGATGGAATCCTTAGCAAGCTACTGTCAAAGATGCATTGATAGTTTCTCTGTTTATGCTACTTCTGTACTTCTTGTTATCCTAAATTTCTAAGCAGTTAGCACCTAAGCTACATAGAATCCAGTATAAAACTCAGTATAAGAGCAGTCATTTAATAAATACATTTTGTTATAACAAAAACCTTTGTAAAACAGAGTAGCGTCAAAGACCTAGTTTAGGCGTAACAATAATTCAGATTATGGGTTGAGTGTGCATTATTGTAGGCTGTTCTTGGATCATTGATGGTGGTTGTGAGCAATTCCTTCACTATATGAACTGCTGACCATGAACCATTCGGAGTCTGCAACTCAGCAAGCACCATGGGTTCTTTTCCTGGGTTGTTTGTGGTTGACAACCTGTTGCTAAACCATAGTATGTTGTTGTTGTTGTTGGTCATGAAGTCATGTCCAACCCATCACAACCCCATGGACAACATTTCTCCAGGCCTTCCTGTCCTCCACCATCCCCTGGAGTCAACCTAAGCTCACACCAACTGCTTCAGCGACTCCATCCAGCTACCTCATTCTCAGCCATCCCCTTCTTCTTTTGCCATCTATTGTTCCCAGCATTTGGCTCTTCTCCAGGGAGTCCTTCCTTCTCATTAGATGGCCAAAATATTTGAGTTTCATCTTCAGTATCTGGCCTTCTAAAGGTCAGTCAGGGTTGATCTCTAGGACTGCCTGGTTTGATCACCTTGCGGTCCAAGGGACTTGCAGAAGTCTCCTCCAGCACCACAAATCAAAGGCCTCAATCCTTTTGTGCTCAGCCTTCCTTATGGTCCAACTTTCACAGCCATACATTGCAACTGGGAAAGCCATAGCCTTGACTATATGCACTTTTGTTGACAGCATGATGTCTCTGCTTTTTAGTATGCTGTCCAGATTCGCCATAGCTTTCCTCCCCAGGAGCAAGCGTCTTTTAATTTCTTGGCTGCAGTCCCCGTCTTCCCCATCTTTTTGCCAGGTAGTGAGAGGACCGGATGCCATGATCTTAGTTTTCTTAATGTTGAGTTTCAAACCAACTTTTGCGCTCTCCTCCTTCACCCGCATCAAGAGGCTCTTTAGTTCCTCTTCACTTTCCGCTATGAGAGTGGTATCATCTGCATATCTGAGGTTGTTGATATTTCTCTTGGCAATCTTAATTCCAACTGGTGATTCATCTGGGCCTGCCTTTCTCATGATGTGTTCTGCATATAAGTTAAATAGGCAGGGCGACAGTATACAGCCTTGCCGAACCCATTTCTCAATTTTGAACCAATCAGTGGTTCCATGCCCAGTTCTCACTGTTCCTTCTTGACCCACATATAGGTTTCTCGAGACAAATAAGATGGTCAGGTACCCCCATCTCTTTAAGAATTTGCCACAATTTGTTGTGATCCACACAATCAAAGGCTTTAGCATAGTCAATGAAGCAGAAGTAGATGTTTTTCTGGAACTCTCTAGCTTTCTCCATGATCCAGCGTATGTTGGCAATTTGATCTCTAGTTTATTTATTTATTTATTTATTTAAACATTTCTATGCCGCCCCTTGCCGAAGCCTCGGAGCGGCTCACAACACAAAATAAAATACAATAAAGTACAAAAATAACAATATAAAATTCACAATATAAAATAAATAACAATATAAAAGAAGTCGCCCTGGCCAGTTCCTCTCCCTCTTCGAAATCCTGCCTGTACTACTGGTAGTTCTCGGTCCACATACTGCTGGATCCTAGCTTATAGGATTTTGAGCATAACTTTGCTAGCATGTGAAATGAGTGCAATGGTGTGGTAGTTTGAACATTCTTTGGCATTGCCCTTCTTTGGGATCGGAATGTAAACTGCCGTTTTCCAATCCTGTGGCCACTGTTGAGTTTTCCTAATTTGCAGGCATATTGAGTGTAGCACTTTTACTGCATCGTCTTTTAGGATTTTGAATAGCTCAGCTGGAATACTGTCTCCTCCACTAGCTTTGTTGTTGCTCAGACTTCCTAAGGCCCATTTGACTTCACATTCCAGGATGTCTGGCTCGAGGTCAGTGACCACCCCATCGTGGTTATCAGGGACTTTAAGCTCTTTCTTGTATAGTTCTTCTGTGTAATCTTGCCACCTCTTCTTAATCTCTTCTGCCTCTGTTAGGTCCCTGCCATTTTGGTCCTTTATCATGCCCATCTTTGCATGAAACATTCCCTTCATATCTCCAATTTTCTTGAAAAGATCTCTGGTCCTCCCTATTCTATTGTTTTCTTCTATTTCTTTGCACTGTTCATTTAAGAAGGCAACCTTATCTCTTCTAGCTATTCTCTGGAATTCTGCATTCAATTGTTTGTATCTTTCTCTTTCTCCTTTGCATTTCGCTTCCCTTCTTTCCTCAGCTATTTGTAAAGCTTCCTCAGACAGCCATTTTGCTTTCTTGCATTTCTTTTTCTTTGGGATGGTTTTAGGTGCTGCCTCTTGTACAATGTTGCGAACCTCCGTCCATAGTTCTTCAGGCACTCTGTCTATCAGATCTAATTCCTTAAATCTATTTGTCACCTCTACTGTATAGTCATCAGGGATATGATTTAGGTCATACCTGAGTGGCCTAGTGCTTTTCCCTACTTTCTTCAACTTAAGCCTAAATTTTGCAACCAGAAGCTCATGATCTGAGCCACAGTCAGCTCCTGGTCTAGTTTTTACTGACTGTATAGAGTTTCTCCATCTTTGGCTGCAGAGCACATAGTCAATCTGATTTCTGTGTTGACCGTCTGGTGATGTCCATGTGTAGAGTCGTCTCTTGGGTTGTTGGAAAAGAGTGTTTGCTATGACCATCATATTCTCTTGACAAAATTCTGCTATTTTGTACCATTTTGCTTCATTTTGTACTCCAAGGCCAAACTTGCCTGTTATTCCGGTTATCTTTTGGCTTCCTACTTTAGCATTCCAGTTCCCCATGATGATAAGGACATCATTTTATGGTGTTAATTCTAGAAGGTGTTGTAGGCCTTCATAGAACCAGTCAACTTCAGCCTCTTCAGTACCAGTGGTTGGGGCATAGACTTGGACTATTGTGATGTTGAATGGTTTGCCTTGGATTCGTACTGAGATCATTCTGTCATTTTGGAGGTTGTATCCTGGTACTGCTTTTCCTACTCTTTTATTGACTGTGAAGGCTACTCCATTTCTTCTGAGGGATTCTTGCCCGCAGTAGTATACCTGATGGTCATCTGAATTAAATTCACCCATTCCTGTCCATTTTAGTTCACTGATTCCCAAGATGTCGATGTTCAGTCTTGTCATCTCTTGTTTGACCACGTCCAGCTTGCCTTGATTCATGGATCTTACATTCCAGGTTCCTATGGAGTATAGATCTTTGCAGCATCGGACTCTCCTTTCACCACCAGATGCATCTGCAACTGAGTGTCCTTTCGGCTTTGACCCAGTTGCTTCATTCTTTCTGGCGCTACTAGTACTAGCCCTCTGCTCTTCCCCTGTAGCATATTGGACACCTTCCGACCTGAGGGGCTCATCTTCCAGCGTCATATCTGTTTGCCTTTTGGTGCTGTCCATGGGGTTTTCATGGCAAGGATACTGGAGTGGGTTGCCATTTCCTCCTCCAGTGGATCACGTTTTGTCAGAGCTCTCTGCTATGACCTGTCCATTTTGGGTGACCCTGCACGGCATAGCTCATAGCTTCATTGAGCTACGCAAGCCCCTTCGCCACGACAAGGCAGTGGTCCATGAAAGAGAAACCATAGTATGAAACCCTCTCAAGCATGTCCACGCCCTGCCATTTTCCTCTGAGCCTCAGCATCCAGCCAGAGTTCCTTTCTGAGGTGCTGACTTCTCTCCAGTGGCTGTGGGCACCTGCTGCCTGCCTGCCTGCCTGTTAGCCAGCCAGCCCCTCATTCCAGAATCAGAATCCCTCTGATCGGGAGCGAACAGGTGGCTTGCTGCCTGCTCCCACATCTTGATCTCATCTCAGCTGCCTTGATACCACTGGTGCAGTCAGTCTCCTGATTAGACACCGAGATTTATATTTATTTATTATTAAAACATTTTTATGCCGCCCCATTCGCCGAAGCCTCGGGGCGGCTTACAAACAATAAATAAAAGCAATTATAAACTAAATCGCAACACATATAAACATTAAAAATCCAAAAAATCCAATATAAAATAAGCCGCCCTGGCCAGATAAGATCAAATAATATTAACAGTTAAAATACCGCTTAAATAAAAAGGTCTTTGCCTGGCGCCGAAAAGCAAATAACGACGGCGCCAGGCGGACCTCTCTAGGGAGCGCATTCCATAACTTAGGCGCCACTGCTGAGAAAGCCCTCCCCCGAGTAGCCACCCTCCTAATTTCTCTCACGGGGGGCTCCCGGAGAAGGGCCTCTCCCGCTGATCTCAAGGGGCGGCTGGGCATATATGGATGTAAGCGCTCCTTCAGGTAACCAGGACCCAAGCCGTTTAGGGCTTTATAGGTCATTACCAACACCTTGAATTGGGCCCGGACTTCAATGGGAAGCCAGTGAAGCTGATGCCCTTCCCACTTGGGGCCAGGTCCGTTGCTTAATGTCTTCTGCCTGCCCCACTGCCCTGGGCGTTGCTGGGTCAGAGGATCAGGCTGCCATTTACTAAGGCTTCCAGGGTTGCAGAAGTGCTTGCGAGGAGGTCTGCTGGCCAGAAGCGGGGCAGTTTGATGCTGCTGCTTAGGACGGAGACTGGAGGTAGTCCATGTATTTCACGCCCCTGCTGTGTAGGCACATGAGAATGTTTCAGAAGCTAAGCTCTGGGTACCGGGCATCCCTTAATTCGAACTGGAGACATGCTCGCATTCTGTTTCAGTCCCCACGGCAGGCCGGGTTCCCTGACAGCAGCAGTTCCATCAGGCTATTGAATAACGAAAGCAAGGCCGTTCCAGAAGGCAGCTCTTTTGGGCTTCTGCCCCTACACTCTTTCTGTTTCAGCTTGTCTTACTGAGAGCTGCCTTTTCACTCAAGGAGCTGGTGCCTGGGTTTGCCTGTTATTTTTCCACTTCCTTCCGCATTCAGCCCTCCATTTGGGTTCTGTCATTTAAACCAGACACCTGCTGCCAGGTACTGTCCTGCTTCCTTGCATCTATAGACCACTCCGGGAAGCATTTTGGCTGAAGAGTAGGGCAAACATCCTTTCACTAAATCAGTGGGAATGCATTTTGCATTTTCACCCTCTACGGTTCCCTTCCCTCCTTTGCATAGTCAGTCAGGGTCAGGATGACACATTCTGGGCAAGTGACTCTTCTGGAGCCCCCTCCCCATGAATCCATTATCCTGTGGGTTGGCTTTCCCTTTTTCTTGCATTCTGCCGCAAGGAACTGCTTATCCCATGCCTGGTAATGCTCATGATTATCTCCCTCCTGCCCTCCCAGGTGCCTCCTCGTGCAGAAGAAATCACAATCCCAGCAGATGTTACTCCTGAAAAGGTTCCAACCCACATTGTCGACTACTCAGGTGAGCAGCCTGGCAGCCCCTCGGCCTTCTTTTCTTACCAAGCAGCATTGTTACCCTGCTATCTGCAAGTACAGCCTGCAGGCAGCACCTGTGTTCACTTTGCAGGAACCCACTTGTGCGTGGCTCTGCATGAAGGGCCCTAATGTGTCAAGCTGCAGGGTCTATTTAATTATTTATTTGCAGCCTGCCTTTTTCCTACAAGGAACCCAAGGCAGCTTGCAGATCCCCTCTCTCCTCTGCATCTTATCCTCCCAGCAACCTAGAGAGATAGCTTAGCTGAGCTTAGCTTGACAGTCTTTGACTGACCCACAGTCGCCCCTCGCCATTAGAGGGGAAAGGCTAGTGTGGCATCCCTGCCGTGCTAGTTTACTGCATGCAAGAAGCTTTTGCTATGGGAGCACATTAAAAAAAGCACACACCTCACTTGGAATTGATGTGGAGTGGTCCAGAAGTCTGTTCTTTTGGACTGCCAGCTCAGTCTGCAAAATACAGGGCAGGGAATATCTTTCAACCCGTGGGTAGAATTCAGTTTGCAGAAATGATCAGGGCCCATATTCCTGCACTGAGTGGCCTAAATGGCAAAAAGGTGGGGGTGGAAATGCACAGCGTGCCAACATGCTGAAGTCAAGGCTTTTGCTGCCAGTAACTGAGGCTTAGGAGAGGTTTCTCAAACTTTTAGCTTAGAGGGGCAAGCTGCACAAAAACCAGGAAGCCAGCAAATGATCGGTGGGTGAGGGAAAAGTAGCGAGGCCAGGAAATAGGGTTTTGAACCTGGGCCTGCTAGCTCCAAGTCCATCACCAACCTCTCTACCATTCTGGCTGTCGGGAAGCCAAGCTAGACACAGAGAAGCCCCGGTTAATTTCCAAGACAGCCATGGAGCTGGTGGACCAACTTTAGGCAAGCTGCTGAGGATCCTTATGCCACCCAGTTGCCCAAACAACAGCCGTAATGCTGCTCTCCGTTATGGACACGCTGATGTGGCTTCTGTCCTTGCAAACTGTACGTACAGAAGTTGGCAGGGGAAACAAAATTCTGCAGTCAGAAATCTTTGACCCACAACAAAGCATGTTTCCAACCTTTGAAGCGGCACAGAAAGGCTTTAAAGCTGTGGGCAGCTCCTGGATAACTCTTAATCCAGAGAGGAAACAAGTAGGTTCCCCAGTGGTCAAATGGGCATGGCTCCACCTTCCTTTTTAATTCCTTAATTCTCCCCAAGGCAGGGAGAGTTAAGATAAATGGTGTAAAATCTGCACATTCCCATTTCATTAATTTACGTGACATGTTCAACTAGCAGAATTCAGGCCTTGCAAGCACTGACTCAGAGCTGCATTGGCGCAGGATTCTCTCTGTGTGCTTAATTCATTGTTCTTGCTGGGACTGAAGTGGTGCTGCTCCCAGCTTGTCCTTGTGCTACAGGCTGCTGGCAGGCGCTGGACTGTTCTTTCCTTCTGCATTCCCAGGACAGCCGGCGGTTGAAGCAGAGTGCTCTTCCCTGGGGGCGGGGGGACCGGCGCCCTGCAGCTGCCAGCAGAGAGAGCTAGACTGGCCTCCCTGTGTGCGACAAGCGGTCTGGCAAGGACAGGAGCCACCCCGCCTGGCCTGCAGTCCTGTGCCACATGGCCAGACCGGATGCGTTTCCTCTTGCCTCTAGAGGCCAGGCAAATTTGTGTCTGGGTTTTAAGTCATCTCTTAGGACTTCCTGCTTTCCTGAGGTAGCACATCAGAAACATTTTGCACACATGAAGGTATTGTGTAACTACATGGTGTTATTGATGATGATGGTGATGTCGATGATGCCATATTATTAATATTTCCCACAGCCTCATTCCATGAATTAGGTGGACATTTTACACCAGGGCTGGGGAACAAATGGTATCCCAACTTGTCCTGTTTTAACCAGTCTAAAAGGTTGAAACACCTTTCGTAAGGTATTTCTTCTTTTGGCCCTGCTGCCTTTGGTCCCCCTCCTCTTCCTTCAGCCCCGTCCACTTTTGGAATGCCTCTTGCCTCCTCACACTGTCTCCAAAATTAACCTCAGGCTGACAGTGCCCCCGCCACCCCACCGCTGTCTCCGCATCTTCAGCACCCCCACACCTAATCCTGCCTTGAAGACCTCGGGGGAAGGAAGCAGTTTATTTACTGGTAAGCTGCCATTGTAGTGTAGAGAGACTTGCTTCAACCTTAAATCTACTCTTTATCATCGGAAAAGCAGTGCTGCATATTTGGAAGCATAAGGGGATCAGTTTGGAGAGAGGAGCATATTTCTGAGCAAGCTCAGCATTGTTCTGATTTTAGCAGAACTGAGGCCACTAGAACAAGGTGTTTGCCAGCTTTGATTCTGCCGCTGAGTTGAGACCCAGGCCCAAGTTTTCCCTGCCCCTGGCTGATCTCTGGAGATTGTGCTCGCCTCAGGCCACAGTTTGGTGTATGCCCCTGACTGCTTTCATGGGATGTACTCGGCAGCAGGCTACTGAACTGCATAACCTTGTCCTTTCCTTGCAGAATCGGAGCAGACAGAGGAGGAGCTCCAGGAGGAGATTGCCAAGGTGAGCAAGAAAAGCATTGGAGGAGAAGGTTGCTTAGACCAGGTTGCTCGGACCACCCACCTCCTCCCTGCCCCCAGTGTTCAGAAATCTGCTGTTAAAGCTCAGCGGTAGCAGCAAACCGCTCTCTTCATTAACTCTGCAGAAATCCCAATCAGGCGTCTCGGGGATTAACATTATCAGTTTGTTAAGGGTGTGCTTAATCCTTTTGCTTGCTTGTAAGCAGCCCTATGTGATTTAGCCAAATCAGGCTCTCCTGTGAGGGGGAGCTGCTGGGCTCAGCTGGGGGAGTGGATCCGCGAGGGCCAAGTGGGCACCGCGCACGTGCTTCCCTCGCACTGAGCTGCTGCTGCCAGGAGCCGGCATGTCTCTTCTCCCCTGGCAGCGAGTCAGGTCAGTGTTTGACAAATGCTTTGGGGCATGGTTTTCTCTGGGCCAGAGCCAGCCCGACTAGCTCCGGGTGTGAGGACCCTTAGCCAAGGTGACCTCCTCTAGTGAGGGTCTTTGACCTGGAGGTAGCAGCAGAGAGCCACAGAAAGCTCTGGGCGGGGCTACCTGCAGGACCAAGCAGCTGAACCTGGTTGCCAGTTCTCTTTTCCCACAGTGTCCCGGAACATTTGGGGGACTGGATTGAAAGGGTCTCCTGAACACATCCAGACAGCACTGCTCAGAGCACTAGGCTGGACAGTTCTTTTCTCTGAAGGGAGAGCCCAGGGCAGCTGCCCAAGGGTGCTCAATATTGCCACCAGCTTGGCTGGCACTGCTTTCACCAATCCAGGAGGCCAGGCACAGAGGGAGGGCCCACAGGACTGTGTTTGCTTGGCACACTCGCATGCTCTTCATCAGAATGCCTGTTGGGCTGGGGCAAGCTGTTTGGCTAAATGCTTCCTGGCTTTGCACAGTCAGTGGCTCCTTAGTTCATTCAGCCCAGGTCTGAGAGCTTTGACTGCAGGTGGGTGTCCAGGCCTCAGATCTGCTGCCCCAGGACATTTTCAGGATGAACTGGGACCTTGAAAAGCAAGGGCCTGTGCCTTTGAGCTCCTTCCTCTCTTCCTGCACAGCAGTTTCATGTACATATGGGAAGCTCAGAGCAGCTACAGCAAATCCCTTCTCAAACGTTGCATGTTTGGGAGATTAAGTGATAAACTCGCTTCCCAAGGGGCCAGTGTTCTCCCGCCATCTGCCTGTCCCTAAAAAGCACTTGCATTGCCATCATCTGAGCTGAGGGGAAGGCCAGCAACCAGAAGTCCTGCTTGTCTGATGAGGATGAGACAGGAGGGCAGCCTTCCTCCTGAAGTTTCAAACTGTCCAACCCTCCAGACCGTTGGCCTGGCTGGCTGGCGTTCTGGGAGTTGAAGTCTCAATCATCTCAAGCTTGAGGGAAGGTAGCAGTGGGGCTTATGGGAGGGAAGGAGACTTTTCTGACCATCTAAGCTGCAGTTGGGAATCTTGGGGCCAGTCCAAGAGGCCAGGACGCTCCTGGACATTCCCACTATCTGTGAGCTGGGAGACGGCGTGTGCATCCACATGCATTTTAGAAGGATGCTGTATTCCAACACTGAGCCAAACTGCTTGGCCATCTCGAGCAGTGCTGTCTGCTTTGGCTTGCATTCCAGGGTTTTGCAGGGGCGTTGTATCCTCTACTGCCTGACCTTTCATCCAGGATGTGCTCATGCCCTTTCTTTGGATTTGGCCCCCTCTCCTATCCTGTCATTTATCGGGGCATAGTCAAATGTTTCCTCTGTTCCCACTATAGGCCTGGAACTACAAACAGCAGCAGTAGCTTGACTGCTGAGTTCTGCTGAATGAAAGAACACCCTGCCCATAGGCTATTTTTCTGTTGAAGACCAGGACCTGACCTTTACCACGACATGCTGGTTTTCAATGCATGGGGTTGTTGTTAGTCGCGAAGTCGTGTCCGACCCAGCGTGACCCCATGGACAACACTCCTCCAGGCCTTCCTGTTCTCCACCATCCCCCGGAGTCCACTTAAGCTCACGCCGACTGCTTCAGTGACTCCATCTAACCACCTCATTCTCTGCCATCCCCTTCTTCTTTCGCCATCTATTGTTCCCAGCATTAGGCTGTTCTCCAGGGAGTCCTTCCTTCTCATTAGGTGGCCAAAGTATTTGAGTTTCATCTTCAGGATCTGGCCTTCTAAAGAGCAGTCAGGGTTGATCTCCTCTAGGACTGACTGGTTTGGAATGGCTTTTCTTTTTCTTTGGGATGGCTTTAATTGCTGCCTCTTGTACAGTGTTGTGAACCTCCGTCCATAGTTCTTCAGGCACTCTGTCTATCAGATCTAATTCCTTAAATCTATTTGTCACCTCTATTGTATATTCATCATGGATATGATTTAGGTCATACCTGAGTGGCCTAGTGCTTTTCCCTACTTTCTTCAGTTTAAGCCTAACTTTTGCAATGAGAAGCTCATGATCTGAGCCACAGTCAGCTCCTGGTCTAGTTTTTACTGACTGTATAGAGCTTCTCCATCTTTGGCTTCAGAGCACATAGTCAATCTGATTTCTGTGTTGACCGTCTGGTGATGTCCATGTGTAGAGTTGTCTCTTGGGTTGTTGGAAAAGAGTGTGTGCTATGACCATCATATTCTCTTGACAAAATTCTACTATTTTGTACCATTTTGCTTCATTTTGTACTCCAAGGCCAAACTTGCCTGTTATTCCGGTTATCTTTTGGCTTCCTACTTTAGCATTCCAGTTCCCCATGATGATAAGGACATCATTTTATGGTGTTAATTCTAGAAGGTGTTGTAGGCCTTCATAGAACCAGTCAACTTCAGCCTCTTCAGCACCAGTGGTTGGGGCATAGATTTGGACTATTGTGATGTTGAATGGTTTGCCTTGGATTCAAACTGAGATCGTTCTGTCATTTTGGAGATTGTATCCTGGTACTGCTTTTCCTACTCTTTTATTGACTGTGAAGGCTACTCCATTTCTTCTGAGGGATTCTTGCCCGCAGTAGTATACCTGATGGTCATCTGAATTAAATTCACCCATTCCTGTCCATTTTAGTTCACTGATTCCCAAGATGTCGATGTTCAGTCTTGTCATCTCTTGTTTGACCACATCCAGCTTGCCTTGATTCATGGATCTTACATTCCAGGTTCCTATGGAGTACAGATCTTTGCAGCATCGGACTCTCCTTTCACCACCAGATACATCTGCAACTGAGTGTCCTTTCGGCTTTGACCCAGTTGCTTCATTCTTTCTGGCGCTACTAGTACTAGCCCTCTGCTCTTCCCCAGTAGCATATTGGACACCTTCCGACCTGAGGGGCTCATCTTCCAGCGTCATATCTGTTTGCCTTTTGGTACTGTCCATGGGGTTTTCATGGCAAAGATACTGGAGTGGGTTGCCATTTCCTCCTGCAGTGTATCACATTTTGTCAGAGCTCTCTTCTATTGGGTGACCCTGCACGGCATAGCTCATAGCTTCATTGAGCTATGCAAGCCCCTTCGCCACGACAAGGCAGTGATCCATGAGCATGGGGAGTTTTATTTAAATCTCCACTTACGACACCACCACTGCATGTGGTCAGGAGCAGTACAATGCTGGAAAAGTTTTACCACTTCATTTCCCTGCTCATCAATATGTGGGGTGCACCACTTGTGGCCCTCCCAGTGGTTTGGCCTATAAATCCCATCATTCAGCATCACTAGTTGGCACAAGTTGCCTAAGCCCAATCCGCAACCTACAGGCCTTAATGGAGCATGAGAGTGTGACAGGACTCCTGGCAGCAATCTTTGTCGGCTCGGTGTGTGGCACCTCTGCTTGGAATGCAGGAGGTCCCCTTTGCAGTCCCCAGCATCTCCAGGCCACTGAGAACAACTCCTGGGATCCTGGAGAGCCACTGCCAGTCAGTTCCTGCAATACTGGGGTTGATGGGCTACGGTTCTGAGCCAGCGTGAGGCAGTTTCCTGTGCTCCATGATGGTTGCGCAGCCCAAGAAGAGCTGGCTCCTGCCACCCTTTTGTCTCCCGCCGCCCGCAGCCTGGAAGAGCAAGGGAGAGAGCTTTGCAGCAGCAGGTTCCCCATGTGCCTGAGGACCTTGTACCCCTTTGTTCCCCACAGGCCAACGTGGTGTGCATGGTGTACGATGTCACAGATGAGACCTCCATTGATAAGGTAAAGCCTCTCGTGGCCGTTCTGTGTTCTACCCCTCTTCTCCCCCACTCCCAGGCAGGTTGGCCTTGCCGCTGAGTGGTGGCCTGACCCTCTCCTGCTGGTGACTGTCCTGGAGGGGTGTGGGCAAAATACTGCGGCTTGCACACTTGTCCTGGCTCTCTTCTGGTGCTCTTCAGGCACCATGTTTCGGGTCACTCTCCTGTTTTCTGGCATCTGTGGATGGATCATGCATTATCTGGGGGCAAGGGAGACTGGCACTTACTTTGCTCGTGCAGGGGTGGACTGCGTGACATTTGGGTGCCTTCCAGCCTGCTGATTCTCCAGGGGCCTGCCCTGCACAGGCTTTCAGGTCATTTAGCCGAGCCTTCTCCATCCCACTTAATTGTCTCTTCTTTTGCTTGGCTGTTCAGATTCGGACCAAATGGATTCCAATGGTGAATGGTGGAGCGGAAAAGTGTTCCAGGTACCCTAACATCCGGCAGTGCAGGGAGCTGTGTTTTTCCTCTCCCTCTGGATTCCCATACCTCTCTACTTGGTAGGGGATTTATTGCCCTGTGCTAAACAGTGTAGAATTCCATGCTAGAAGTAGGCAAAGCTGCAGTATCTGCAGAGACGGCAGATGTGACGATGAGCCGTTTACTGGATGGTGCCCTTCAGTAAAGGATTCACCACAACAAGTGCTTCCTCGTGGACGTGAAGCTTCCTGGTTTTGCTGCACCATTGGATCTGTCAGGCCCAGTATTCTTCTCTCTCGCCTCCCCTACATGGTGCCTGCCAGATGTGGTGGACTGCAATTTTGGAAGTTTCTCCCCAAGCAGATTCACCTGGCGCCTTCCTTACTTTCTTTCCAGCACCAGGCAAAGACCTTCCTTTAAAAAAAGTAATAACTAATTGCCATAAGACCTTGATTTTGCATTTTTTGCTGTATTTTATTGTTGTTTCAATGTTATGGTTTTTAGTATGTTTTTATTGTGTTTTTTCCTGTGGTTGTGAGCTGCTCAGAGGTGCTATGGCACAACTAGGCGGCATACAAATGTTTTAAATAAATAAATAATCCCTGTCATCCTTAACCAGCATCATCCACACTGAAGGAGGATGATGGGAGTTGTAGTCCAATGCATCAGGCAGGCGTCCACTTGGGGAAGACTTCTCTGCTGTGACACTCAGTGGTTCTCCAAGGCCTGAAAAAGCAGTACCTGCCTTTTAGTTGTACACATTGGTTCAAGAAGCATAAATAGGTCAGTTTGCCTTAACATGGAAGCTGGCCAAAGTTTCCCTCACCCCTTATTCTGTCCGCATCGTCTCCAGTTAAAGCATTTCATAAAGCAGTCAGAGCTAGGTGCCTGGGTGAAGAAGGCTTGACTGACCAGCTCTTGCCCTGATATGCTCACATTCTGCCTAGAGAGTTTACTGGAGGAATGGCCCGCCACATTCGAAGGGGAACTAACACTCAAACCAGGAACAATTTGACCACTTCATTAGTCAGTGGAACCAAGCTTAAATGACACAGAGCACATTTTCTTTAAAAAAACAAAACAAAACAAAAAACCTACGTACATATTGACATCTCTCAGCCCATCCCTTTCCTGGTTAGAGAATTTTGGTTGCCTTGGCCCAGACTGGCCAGAATTAGGGCCTGCCAGCCAAAGTCACGGTGCCTTTTTACCTTTTCAAAGCTCTCCCTCATTCCTAGGATCCCCATCATCCTCGTGGGAAACAAGTCGGACCTGCAGAATGGAAGCTCCATGGAGACCATCTTGCCCATCATGAACCAGTTCTCAGAGATTGAGACCTGTGTGGAGGTGGGAAGCTTGTTGGGAGTGGACTGGGGGGAGCGGGGTAGAGAGAGTTCTGTAATCCATGGCCCAGTGTCCTACAGACTGGTTGGATTGCATTTCTCATCATCCGTAGCCAGCTGTGACAGAGGGAAAGCAGGATCCTAGTGGTCCTTCTCTGCTGACACTAGCTCAGAATTCTCTTCCGAGATGGGTTAAACAGAAGGTTTCCCCTTCTAGGATTATGCCTAGCCTGTCGCCTGTGAGCCTTTTTTGGCAGATCATTGCAAAGGAGGTCTTGGACCATCTCCAGTGCTGTTTTTCTTGTTCAGTCGTTCCTAGTCTGCTCTCCCAAGTAAGCTTCTCTTTCTTCCTCCTCTCTTTGCCTGCACCAGTGTTCTGCAAAGAACTTGAAGAATATCTCTGAGCTCTTCTACTATGCCCAGAAGGCAGTCCTGCACCCAACAGCTCCTCTGTATGACCCAGAGGAGAAACAGGTAGGATTCTGTATTCCACAGCTGCAATTAGATATTCTGTCTGCAGTTAGGTCTTCTCTGCCCCAGATTCTGGATCTAAACTGGAAGAAGAGGCAGGATTGGAAAGCTTAACTGAATTACCAAGGCCAACAAACTGCAAGATATGCCAGGCGGCTGATGAGAACCAGTCTGCCCCTGTTTTGGGAGGGAGACACTGTGGAACAGGAAGGGTCTCAGAGTGGGAGGGGGGATGGCTTTATCAGCCCAGGGGTTCAATGTCAAGTCAAGTGAACAGATCAGTTAAGTAGCACCAGGTGTTCCCACCATCTGACCCAGCAGCCTGAACCTTTCTGCGAGTGGAGCCAGCTCTGTGAGGAAGGCAGTGGGGGGATTCAGTTTGGAGTCAGCTCCTGATATGGGGAAGACACGGTGTGGGGAGGGCTGTTGCACTGGTACCCTGCTTGCAGGTTTCCCACAGGCCACCGGTTGGCTGTTCTGTGAGCAGGAAACTGGGCCTGATGGACCCTTGACCTGATCCAGCCGGGCACTTCTTATGTTCTTAGAGCTCTTCCTGCTGGTAGCTAAGGTTTAGGAGAGGCATTTCAAGCCATTAAAGCAGAGAAAACACTGCCCAAAAGCCAGGATCAGTGAGTGGGGTCAAGCAGTCAGGGCCATCTGCCCCCTGCCCCAAGAAGACAGGATTGGCTGCTAAGCCTGCGCTTTCCTGCTGTGTCCTAAACAATCTAGGCAGGGGCTTTGATGTCCCATCTGCCTGTGTTGGGTGATTCTGGGAAACTGCGTCAGATTCCTTGCTTTGGATTGCTGCACACTGCCCAGAGAACTTCAGCTGTGGGGCAGTGTAGAAATGACAACAGTGGTGATAAAAAATAATAATAATATAAATCCTGCCTTTCGTCTGCCTTTGCACCCCGCAGCTGAGACCAGCGTGCACGCGAGCACTCACTCGGATTTTTAATATGTCTGACCAGGATAACAACCAGATTCTGAGTGATGAGGAGCTCAACTATTTCCAGGTATGTTCCCATGTGGCATGCTTTGGGGGTGGGCAAGACCCGCTGGGAAGGTGTGCCGTAGCCTCAGGCTCTGCCCCTTTAATTCCGAAGCTGGTGGCCTGGCCAGTTTTTTTAGAATGGGTGTTCCTAGTCCTTGTGGTTGCAGTGACGCTAGCGAGCACGCATGTGTCGCCGCTTAGGGACTCAGAAACCAGAATGCTTTGGGGCGAGGTGGTTGGGCACCGTTGTAACTCTCTTCATGGAGGCACCTTTTGTCCTACCCTTGGTCTTCCCACTATCTCCTCTCCTGTGCCCCAGTCCAGGAGGTAGACCGTGGGTCCTCAAACTGTGGCTCATGGGACGGATCTGCCCTGCTGTGGCCGTCCAGCCATCCATCCGGCCCACGCTGCTGTTCGCTGCCCGTGTGTGCGCTTGCTGCGCAGGCGGGCGGGGAGGTGGTGGCTTGCTCGCTCAGATATGGGTTTGGACTCACTGGGAGATCTCCGAGCGAGCGAGCCACTGCCGCACGTGCCTGATGCTGCGCACACGCCCAAAGGCACCTCACTGGCCCGCGCCCCCAGGCGCCCCCACCTCACCGGCCCGTGACAGTCATCACAGCCTTTCAGCTGGCCCTCTGTTCAAAAAGTTTGAGGACCCCTGATGTAGACTCTTAGATTAAAAGGACACCATGCAACAAGAACTTCCCCTCAATGACCATTTTAATTTATTCAGCATTTTTCTCACTTCTTTCACAACTGAGGTGGTTTATCAGTCACTGAGCTACCATGATAATAAACTGCACTTCAAACGGACTGTTGTCCAACAGTCTCTGCGGAATCACAAGCTTTGTGGGGTGAACCATCCGAGCTTATGACATAAGCATCTTCATTTAAAGTGTCATTCCCAGGAATGAAAAAGAAGCAAATGTGCTTCTCTTCAGAGATGAACATCTCACCTGTAATGCTGGAAATAGACATTAAGGGATCATACCATTATTTATTTATTTATAAAATTTGTATGCCGTCCAATTACTTATGTCTCTGGATGGCTTACAGCATAAATAAATTGACAACCCACTCTGGCTGCAAGTTAATAAAATACAATAATAAAATTCAATAGTAAAACATATTAAAATATTGATTAAATAAATCTTAGAGGTCTTAGAGCCATTAGAGCTGCTGCCTCTTGGTCAAGTCTGTTTATAAGGTCTTTGTTCTGATCCACCAAAGTTGTAAACTAATTGGCAGCTGGAGGCCTTCGTGACAGTGGAAATTTCCTCAGCAACTTCGCTGTATAAATCTTCTGCCTATTTTAACTAAATACATTGCTGCGTCTGATGGGTAAAATGACATTTTTCATTCCCATTTTATGCTGCCAATGGAACTGCAAGGTTTTTGTGTGTGCTCAGCTGTTTCTCTAAATCTTAAATAAATCTTGACCCTCCAGGCTGTTTCTCTGGGCAAGGATGGATTTGGCCTGCTTTTCATGTCATCTGTTCTTGCCTCTGTGATTCACAGGGGAGACCTGCCCTGCCAGGCTACCAAGCATACTCATGGGCTTGTAACAAATTCTGTTTCATTTTTGCTGTCTTTTAAAGGTTTCAAAAGCTTAATGAAATGAGCAGTCTGGAAAAAAGAAAAAAAATCTGTTCTGCATTGGAGGGTCATGTTTAAAACAATAGTATATTTGTCAGTTTGAGGAAATAAACTTCAGGCTACATGTGGCATTGGATACTCCTCAGCACAGTGTGTTTGGCACTTGTGAGATCCAGCTTCTAGTCTGCTCTGGGCCATGAAGCTTATTGGGTGACTCTGGACTCTTTTCTGTCTCTCGGCCCAATGTACGTCACAGGACTGTGAAGGTAAAATGAAGAGCAGGAGGAACTGATCCTGCATAGGCACAAACAGCACCCTGCTTGCCCGTCGGCTTAAGGCAGGGTACGACAGCATCCCAGTAGCTGCTGACCTACCCCTTGCTTCACGCCCTGGCATGAGTCTCTTGTTCCTTCCGAGTGGGGCAGCCTTCTTTGGGGTTGTTTCCTCTGTCTGACCCCCCTCCCCCTCTTGTATGACAGAAGTCCTGCTTTGGAAACCCTCTGGCTCCTCAGGCTCTGGAGGACGTGAAAATGGTGGTCTGGAAGAACACAACTGATGGCGTCCAGGACAATGGCCTGACCCTCAATGGTGAGAGAGCTCTGGGGTGGTCTCAGAATCCTCCTTGGCAGATGGACCAGCTGTGCAGCAACCCTGGGCCATGCTCTGAAGCTGTGGCTGCTCGGCTGGCCTGCCATGTGGACCGTGGCCCGAAGGGTGAAAGAGGCATTCCTGTGGAACAGGCAGCATGCTGCATGGGGCAAAGTTTTCCCAGGGGAAGCCCTTTCTGTGGAGGAAAGGTTCTTCAAGGAGAATAATTTGGCGAAGAATTGAGTGGGTGCACTGGCAGAGCAAAGGCAGCAGGGGGGCAGTAGTGCTATGCCTAGGAATGCACCGGAGAAATGGAGAGCAGGGAGCCGGTCTTGAGTAAGTGATTTGCAGCTGAGGCTGGGATGAAGCGGCTGTGGCCATCCAAAGTCTTCCAGGCATGGCGCCTCCTGGCCGGGAACTCAGGCTGCAGAACTGCCCGTTACAGCCTGCTGGTGCTGAGTGAAGCCCTGCCCCTGAAGGCAGGGGCTGGATGCTGACCCAGGAGAAGCACTTGGGAAGAGGGAGGCGCGTCGTCCTGGCGCACTTCACAGCAGTCAGACACAAGCGCACACCTTCCTTTTTGCATGAACAGTGGAGAAGTGCAGTGGCGCTTCCCGGGGCAACCCAAGCCCGAATCCTTCGAGGGCGAGCACAACCGGCAGGCCTTTGCTGTGGCTGCCCGGCAGGCAGGCCGGCGCATATTCCGTTTTGGGCGGTTCTGCTGCACTGGCCCACTCCTGGGCCGAGTGCCCGGTTCTGAGCCTCTTCCTCGTCTTTCAGGCTTTCTTTTCCTCAATACGCTCTTCATCCAGAGAGGGCGCCACGAGACCACGTGGACCATCCTGCGTCGCTTTGGCTATGACGATGCGCTGGAGCTGACGGACGACTATCTGTGCCCACTGTATGCTGCCCTCTTGAATTTTATGAGTTGGGGGCAGGAAGTGGAGGTGCTTGATTCTGTGGGACAATGGGAAGGCACGCTTTTGAACACGAATAGACTGTTCCCGGGAGCCTTTCTTGTCTGTTTAGTCTGTGGGAGTGGAGGAGTTGAGTGTCCCTTCATTCTTTTTCAGTTGCCATTTACTTAGAGCAATCTGGGTCTCTCCAAATATGCTGGACTACAGCCCCCATCATCCCCAGGCAGCACACCATGGGCTGTGCTGGCCGGAGATAATAGAATTGTAATTCAACACACCTCTTTGAGAAGGCTGTCGTGTCTTATCATGGTGTGCTCCCAAGTTTCTGCAGGAATGTTTGCTCCCGATGGTCCCTTTCCACGGGTAGATTCACGGTGTGTGTTGCTCAGAGCAGCTCTTTCCGCCCACTCCCGTGGAAAAGGTTTGAAATCTCCACAAGGAAGTGCGCAGGCGTTGCAGCCGCTCTGGAGAATCGGCCTCCACCCAGGCTGCTTTCCTGTCTTTCAGGATCCGGGTGCCCCTGGGCTGCTCCACAGAGCTCAACCACTTCGGCTGCCAGTTCTTGCAGAGGATGTTTGAGAAGCACGACAAGGTGAGCCTGTGAAACTGCCCCCCAGGGGCTGCCTCAGCTCTGCGCACTGTAAGCTGCTTGTGGCGCCCCCAGCAGGGCAGGCTGCTGGCGCCCCGTGCCCTTGGTGCGCGGGCAAGGCCTCCGCCGGCCAGTACAGAGCTGGGTGAGACAGGCCTGGGGCCCATGTGGTGCCTTTCCCAGTGGTGAGCAACGAGGGGCCTTCGACAATCCCACTAGCGGGGCCTGGGAACAGGAGCGCCTCTGGGGCTCCGTTTCCAAGTCACGGGAAGTTATTGTTCCAGTCTGCCCCGCACTGCTCAGATCGCTCCTCAAATACAAGTCTGGTCCTGGATGCCACACTTTAAGAAGGATTCGGAGCAATTGGAGCAAGTTCAGAAAAGGGGAACAAAGATGTTCAGGGGAGCTAGAAATTAAGTCCCGTGAAGAAGGAGAGAAGAAACTGCATATATTAAACCTTGAGAAAAGAAGACAGAGGGAGGATGGGATGGGACAGGGCTTTTCCCAGGGCTGCCCCGCAGAAGAGGACCGCAGGCTGTTTTCCATCATTCAGGGCTGCAAGGCACAAAGTACTGGCCTTGCATTACAGGAAGGTAGATTGTGGCTGAGGGGCTTCCAGGCTGTTGCAGTTGCTGGCGAGCTATTTGCTGAGGCCAGGACAAAAGTAGCGGGTTCTTCAAACAGCACTGGCAGCCCGGCTGATCTTCCCTGTATAGATGGAGATGCCACGGTCTGCCAGCCTGTGGTTCTTTGGCCAGGGGCCAGAGCCTGACGGTCACCATCCCCCCTCCCAGGTCCACCTTGGTGGACGGGGAGGCAGCCTCCTGTCGCTGCTGCCGCTGTCCCTCCTCCCCTGGCTGGTGGCTAGGCCCGCCTTAGCACCGCTGCTTCTGGAAGGGAAGAGGCGCATCCTCCCCGGGGCCATTGCCCACTGCAGCGCAGCTCCCCCGCTCTCCCTTTCCTCCGTGATCACAGTGCAGCTGACAGTCCAGTGGCCTCCTTTCTGGCGGGAGAGGAGAGGGCACAGGCTGGTATCTGGGGTGAGGTTATCCCTGCCACACTCACACGCCACGGACCGGGTCCGCTCTTTGGCTCTAGGCAGCTGTCCATGAAAGCAGACGCTCTCCTCGCGTGAGGGAGGGGAGGAAGCAGCCTGGACCGGGACGCTGTTCCAGTGCCTGGGCCCTGCAGATGCCCCCTTGTTGGGTCTTCCTGTGAGGGGGGGCAGCGCAGCCTTGTGCCTTGCGGTGCCTCTGGAGTGTGGCCACTCGGGTGCCTGTGTCTTCCCTTGCTGACTGCAGGATCGTGACGGAGCCCTCTCCCCCACTGAACTCCAGAGCTTCTTCAGTGTGTTCCCCTATGTGCCCTGGGGACCTGAGCTCTACAACACGGTATGCACCACTGATAAAGGCCTGCTTTCCCTGCATGGATTCCTCTGCCAGTGGATGTAAGCGCACGCCCCTCTTTGCCTTCCCCCGTCTTTAAACCCATTCAGCTTACTCTGCCCACTCCCCCTGTGATCCTTGTAACACGCGGCCTTCTCTGCGCTTGGCTTTCCCTAGGCTGGAGGCCTACCTGGATGTCCATCGCTGCCTGGAGCACTTGGGCTACCTGGGCTATCCCATCTTCTCTGACCAGGACTCTCAGATTCATGCTGTCACAGGTGCATCATCCCTCAGGCTGTCCCCTTAGAATCACCTTGCCAGTCCTGCTGCTGTGCTCAGCTGTGAAGAGGTGATGGGCGGCAACTTTCGCACTCGGCGCGGAACGGGCCTGGGGGGATTACGGGGATCCGTCCCCTGCCTTGGGCTCCAGGAATTGCAAATCGAGCAGTGCCTGCCTCTTTCCCAGCAAACAGAGATCATACTGTTTGCCACAGCAGGAAGGAAAAGGATTCGCCCTAAGCAGCATTTCTCCACCTTCTCCTCACCCCACCCACTATTTCTTTCTGCTCCAGTTACACGGGAAAAAAGGATTGACCTGGAAAAGGGCCAGACTCATCGCAATGTTTTCCTGTGCAAAGTGGTTGGATCCCAGCAGGCTGGCAAGACCGCTTTCCTGCAAGCCTTTCTCGGGAAGAACTTGGCTGTGAGTCTCCAGGGTTCCATCTGTGGCCTCAGTCAGTTGGGGTGGGAAACCATTCTTTGTTCTTGTCCCTCATATTAAGATAGTTGTGAGTAGGGGGAGGGGGAATTGTGCAAAACCGTGGACAGGATCTCTGAATGCGAGACACTGAACTCTGAGAATTCCCGGCGTTCACTTTTTCTTTCATAGCGGGCCTTTGCTTCTGCGGAGTCTGTGCAACGCCAGAGCAGACCATCCCCAGCCGGGGCTGGATGGGTTGGCCGTGCTGGCGAAGTCGGATGGCAGTTGTAGTCCAACGCTTCCAGAGGGCATCCATGTGGGGAGGGCAGTCCTGAGATGCTGGGCCCCAGGCCGGGGCCACCACGACGAGCGCTTCTGCCGCAGACTTAGCGATGCCTTGGGCAGTCGCTTCCTTCCAACTTCAGAGCCTCCTGATGCTCCTTCCCCAATCCATCTTGCAAAGGAAGAGCCAGATTAAGACACAGAGTACCATAAAAGTGGGCCTGTGTTCTGCCTTGGGTAGAATCAGCAGCAGGCCATGACCCAATTCTTGGAACATGGTAGTAATTTTAATGGGCTTATTTGTAAGGCTGGCTTAGAAGCCCTCATGCCGGTAAAATTTGAATCCTGGTTCCCTGGCTCACAGCGCTCGCACTCTCTGTCTCTCTGTCTCTTTGTCTCTCTCTCTCTCTCTCCCCCCCCCCCCCCCACCACCACCACCACCACACTGCTGCATTAGATCTGGAAACATACAGAGGGCTGTCAATGTTAGGAATGTGCCTAAAAATAAAACTCAGATGTGTTGCAGTCCCCTCAGTTCTGTCTCAAACTTTGTATGTTTTTTGAAAGTACACATTTTTCATGCACATTTTCCAAGTGTATACATCTTGTCACATGCTCATTTATTTCACAAATCATACTAAAAGCTTGAAAAAGTACAGGCATGAAATGTGGATGGTTTCTGAGTTAGTGTTTGGTCTGGGAGGGATGGACTGTGAAAATCTTAATCAAAAATGAACTGGAATGACTTTTGCATGGATCTTGCGCCTGGCAAACCACAGGAGCCCAGGGACGTTCCTGCAGTGTTCCCCTGAGGCCCATCACCCTGACAAAATGCACACTTTCCAGACGAAAGCATGAGTGAGCAACTCTGGAGGTTGGGCCTACAACTCCCATCAACCCTCACCATTCACTCTGCTGTGGGCCCAGTCATTTGGACCACAGATTGCCTGTCCCTGCTCTCAAGATGTCCCCGCTCTTGGGGATTCAAGACTCTGTTGTCACTCTGCTTAGGTTTCAGGTGTCCCCTTTTCCAAAACCTGTTTTTGTGGAAGACATTCCTGAGACACAGGCCCTCAGTACTCCTGCTTCTCTGTTTCCAGGCCCAAAGTCAGTCTGAGAGCAAGGCGTCCTCCTATTCAATCAACACTGTGCAAGTCAATGGGCAGGAAAAGCATTTAATTGTAAGTATTGTTGGTTTTTGAAAAGCTTCATTATATTGCTTATGTTTGGTTAGGGTAATCTGAACCAAAATAAATCTAAATATTGATGCTCAGTCCACACAAATGACTGAGCATATTATTCATAGAATCATAGAATAGGAGAGTTGTAGGGGCCCAGGAAGGCAATCAGGTCCAACCCCTGCTGTTCTAGGACCCCAGTTTACACCATCTCACTCAGATGGCTGTCCAGATTCTTTTTGAATATCTCTAGTATGTGAGAGCCCACAACCTTTCTAGGCAATTGGTTCTACTGTCATATTACTCTGACAGTGAGGACACTTTTCCCGATTCCTAGCCGGAATCTGAAATTGAATTGATTATTCTGTGTCCTACACTGGTAACAGTGAGAAGATATCCTGATCTTCCTCTTTGTGACAGCCTTTGAGAAGCCCCTCAGTCTTCTCTTCTCAAGGCTGAACATGCCCAGTTCTCTCAGTTTCTCCTCACAGGGCAGTGTTTCTAATCCCTAGATCATTTTTGTTGCCTTCCTCTGGACCCTTTCTCATTTTTCTGCATCTTTCTTAAATCTTGGTACCCAGAACTGGACACAGGATTCCAGATGAGGTCTGATTAGTGAGGAGTACAGAGGAACTGCTGCTTCTCCTGCTTTGGAAGTAATTTTCTCTTCCATTTGCTCTTTTGGCAGCTGCATCGCATTGTTGGCTCATATTTAGCCTATTGTCTACAATTACTCCGAGGTCTTTTTCTTTTCCATTTCTGTTGAGCCACACATTCCCCATCTTGCAGGAAATGCTGCAAAGATTTCCCTCTCCAGATGTGCAATGTCGGAAGGCCTACTTTGGAGGCCTCCCTCTCCCCACTTTCACTTGCTCTCTCTTTCTCTGTGGCAGTAATTTTAAAAAATGTATAGGCTTTGTGGCAGTTCATTTGTAAGTACGGGCTGTTCATAACTCAGATGTTCACAACTCAGTGGCTGCCTGTACTTGAAAGGCTGCCGCAAAGAGCAGGGCCAGGATTTCTTCTCAGGAGGACAGGGCACGGAATAATGGGCTTACAATGCAGGAGGCCAGAAGCTGGCTGGACATCAGAAAAAGCTGCTCGATGGTTAGAGCAGTGCAGCAGTGGAACCAGTTGCCTGAGGAGTGGCGGCTTCTCCCATCCTGGTCGGACTTGCATGTGTCAGCAAACACTGGCTGCTCTGTTGCTGCCAGGATGCCTCCCTTTTTTGAAAGAAAGGGATTGTGGGAATGAGCCCATACAAGAACACGCTGTGGGCCCAAGCCCTGTTGTGCATGCAGCATTCCCATCAGCGAGCCACCCTTTTATCAGAGAAGAAAGAGAGGGACCAGTCATTGGCTGGGAGCCAGTGTGGCACAGTGGTTAGAGTGCCGGACCGGGACTCCGGAAACCTGCATTTTGTGCCTTGACCATAAAGCTCAATGGGTGACTTTGGGCAAGTCACAGGATCTCACCCTTTTGGCACCCGGCGGGGAGACACAGAATGACAGAAACAGCAGATACACGTTTAAGTTATCTGATGGCGCTTGGACAGAAGGGTTTCTGAAGGGTTAGAAAGAAGGGTTTTGTTTTTCTTAGACAAAGACAATCGGTGTTCTCCTTTTTCAAAGCTTGATGTATTTAAAACAAATGGCTACTAAACTGTGTGGACCCCTCCTTGCATCTCTCACCAGCTGCACGAGGTTGACGTGGGTGTGGAGTTCGTGAAGGCATCCGATGCATCTTGCGATGTTGCTTGCTTGTTGTACGATGTGTCGGACCACAAGTCATTCAACTACTGTGCCAGCATTTATAAGGTAACGTGTGCCATCTCCCTGCATGTTCTCCAACACTGGCTCACCAGTAGGCAAGCCAAGTGGTCACCTCAGGCTGGAGACAGGTCTCTTAGGCGTGACTGGTGCTAGAAGGCCGCTCTTTGGCTGTGCCCAGCCGCCGGCAACAGGCAGTGGCACTCCTGTGGGGGAGACTCGCAGGCAGTGCAAGATGGGAACAGCCACCCCCTGTTGCTCATCCCTGCCCTCCTTGAATCTCAGAGGCCTCCATTTTCAGCCAGAGCAACTTAATAGTCTTTCTGTATTATCTCTTCCTTAAAGCTATTTATGCTCATGGCACCCAAATCATATGGCAGTGAGTTCCAGAGATGAATGCCTTTTGTCCTCAGTTTGCTCCCACTTGTCTTTATTGGAGTAAATGCATGACAAAATGTTTGCTTTGGGACTCACTGCATCCTCAGAGTGAATAACTTTTCTGACTTTTTCCTCCCTTTTTATACTGTTCACTTTTAATATTTTTTAATAGCTTTAAAAAAGCCTAATGTTTCTTTGGGGCTCACTGGCTTCATTAAAGATTCCAAGGATTTTAATAAATTCCAATTTGACACCAGGTGTGAACGTTCCCCTGTCCCATTACCTGTTCTCCCAGGTGGTCTTACAGAGATGAGGCAGAATTTCTTTCATTCTCTGCTTGGAGACGGTTCCGGGGGCTGCATCCCCGTGCTGGGTGGAGCTGAGGATGGAAGCTGTGGTGGGGAGAAGCCCAGGCCAAGAGCAGCTGTGCCAACAATAAAAAACCTCAGCAAATTTCCACGTATGCCTCATAGTGCCAGCAACAAAGTCTTAGGAGCTGTATTTCAGAACAGAGAGAGAATAGCAGAGAAGTGGGGAAGCCACAGTTGATCGGCGGGTGGAGGAAACGGGGGCTGGGGGAGAAACACAGGCGCTCTGGGGAGCACCGGGCAGGAGGGCTTTGGTGGCCAGGCCTCTCCTGCAAAGCTGTCTTGAGTTCTTTTGGCTTGTGGGAGGAGAAGGGATTCAAACAGGGTTGGGCGGAAAGGGGTGTCGCCCCCCGGTGCCCCTTCCCTCCACCCACTCCCAGGTAATTCAAGTAATGCGGCGCTGTTCTTCATTGCCTGTGTAGCAGCACTACATGGATGGGCAGGTCCCGTGCCTCTTCGTGGCTTCCAAGGCAGATCTACCGGAGTCATCGCCGCAGCACGGCCTCTCGCCGGCCGAGTTCTGCTACAAGCACCGTCTGCCGCCGCCCTTCTACTTCACCTGCAGCGAGCAGGGCCCTCCGAACCCAGCCATCTACGCCAAGCTGGCCGCAGCCGCCACTTTCCCGTCAGTACCTTCCTTCCCCCACCCCCGCTTTTCCGTTCCTCTCAGCGAGCAGCTTGGCGTGGGATGGATTGCTTCTAGGGCTGCCCAAAACGCCAAGCAGTGAAGCTGCCAACAGTTTGTCGCCCCAAATCTGTATGGGGAAGCCACCCCCTCTGCTGAACGGGTACCAGTTAGACCTGGGCACAGCACAAGTGATTTGCATATCTCACATGAGATCCCAGCTTCCCTTCGTCCTGCATGAGGTGCCCTGGCTTGCTTTCTCTCCCCACCTCCAGGGGTTTTCTTCAGGGCAACCCTGCAAGGCAAGCTAGGCTGGGAGAGTGGAGGGCCAAGCTGACATAGTGAGCTTTAGAGCTGATGGGAAACTTCAACTTGGGTCCCCTTGGTCCTAGCCCAGCATTCTGAGCACTGTGCTGTACTGGCTAAGAGCTGGGCTGCTTTTCTATCTCTACGCTCCCTTTCCTTCAAGGCTCAAGGCTGGGTTATACTATTAAAAGAACACTTTGGCAGGTGAAATACAAAATCTTACAAAATACAAAATAACACAAAATTATTCCATTTCTGTTTAACTCAAGAATTAAAGGACAGTCCCAAGCCCTTCCCCACCAAAACCCCTCAAGGTGGCCTCTAATGCCATTGGAAAATTGCAGGCAGAGTTTTCTCGGGTAATGGAATTCCACCTGGCAGGGCCAGCCTTGAAGGATGCTGTTGCTTCCTCTTCAGTTGTGGACAGAGCAGGTGTCTGGGCCAAGTGATACTTACAGACCAGAAGCGCCCCCTCCCTCCCTCCCTCCTAGGAAGCAAAATGTCACCAAAGAGGGAGCACGTTTTCAGGCAATGCCTGATGAAGGTCTCATAACGCAGAGTCTTGAAAGAGGCTGCAAGCCGTTACTTGTCTGGCACATTTTGTCTGCATTGTTTTGCTGTCATCCTTCTAATAACCTGGTAAGGTATGTCGTGGTGGTGGTGGTGCGGATGCATTTCTTCTTTCCTCTCGTGAACTGGAGGCAGCCTGCATAGCTCCCTTTTATCTGCATGGCAACAACCCTGTGAGGAAGGTTAGGCTGAGAGGAAGAGCCTGGCCCAGAGTGGACTGCCTGGCTGAGCGACGACTGGTACCTGGATCTCCTGGGCACCCAGTCCAGGACTTCCACCACCACACTGGCTCCACCATCAGCCTCATCGCCATGTTGCAGCTCTCTTAGGAAGGCTCCAAGGGCTGGCGGTTGTGGGAAGTGAGCAGAGGTGTTCTGCTTGCCACTTTCCTCGCAGTATGTTTGCAACAGTCAACTCAGACGCGTACTTTCCCTAGACTCTGGTGCTTGACCAGTCGCAGGTGCTGTTCTGCTTGCCCTGCACCTTGTGATCAGTGGGACCAACACAGCCTGTGGGGCTTGGGCCTAGTCAGCCACTTAAGCAAAGCAAGAGATTGCAGGAGGGCTGTCTCAGAGGCTCACCTCAGTGCAACCATCTCAAGGAGCAGGCGCAGGTGAAATCTATCGTTTATTCCCAGCTAAACTCTAAAAGGGGCAGAGGGGAGCAAGCCAGTCACCAGCCCTGCATTAAGAGTTTTATTCTTTTATGCAACTATCCTTAAATCTTGCTAATATATCTAGAAATGGAAAATAGGCGGAACGTGTTAAAGCAAACATGTTAGAAGGGGAAGGGCGGGCGGTGGCTGTGTGGCTGAAACGTCCTTGCATTTTTGAGAACCCAGTTTTCTCTCACTTCCTTGAAGGAGCAGCTTCTTCACTGGACATGCATATCTCAGCTTGGGCAACTTGTCTTCCAGATACCTGAAATGGGGTCATTCTCAGTAGAGCTTCAGCTGATTGCCTCCTATGGATCCATCTCTGAGATCCTCGCGTCTTCCCTCTGTCTCTCTTCTAAAGGCCTTTCCTTTTCTGCATGCGCGATTCCATGTCCTTTCAGTCCTGTTCCTCTGACCATTCTGTGTTACATTTTCCCAGGTCCTGGGGTCCAGTCTCATGCTCTCCCCACCCCAAGTCCTGCACCATCAGTCCGCTGTGTCTTCACATAGTACTCATTTGTCACTGGGGCCTGTATGCCTGTTCCCGCTCTCCTTCTCCCATATGCAGTGAAACTTGGCGATTGTTTGTTCAGTTTGGGGCATGTTGGTTATTGTGCATGCAAATAGGTGTGAGAGGATTGGGATTGGTGGGAATGGCTGCTCATGTCACATTGGTGGAGAGTTTTCCCTATGCATTCTTACAAGGATGGGGCGCTTTCTTCTGACTAGAAATGCTAGATTTTCTGATAATCCACTACTTTCACTTGGCTGTAAGTTTCCAAGAGGCACCCCATTCAGGCAGTGCAGTTCAAGAGGTGAAGGCAGAGGGGCAGCGACAGGCAGAGGCATGGGACAATTCTGTAAATTGGGCTGTCTTGATGTATTGTGGGAATTTTTGGCTTCAGCAGAGCTTTTCCTGACTTCTGGGACTCCCCACTAGATGCATTCTCAGTTTTAGAAGAGCTTGCCTTGCTTTCCTACCCTTAAAAGGTGCAGTGGATTCATCTAATTGGTGCCAGAGGCAAGCATGGCTTTTCTTGTGCCTTTTTTCTAGGGTTGACTGGCTTTTCCCTTTTGCCTATTTTGGTCTCTTTAATGAGAGGAGGTGACCTAGAAAGGCATCACTAGAGGCTGATGCCTGCTACAAATTATTTAGACATCGTCACTTGCAGCTTCGGAGTAATGCAGCTGCATCGAAAGTATCAGTGCAACACCTCTGGCCCAGCCCACTGGTCTGCAAATCCACCAGTTGAGCAAAGGAGAGCATTAAGTGCTTTCCCTCTAAAACCCTGCTGAAATCAGCCGCAGAGAGGGGCTTACGTCTCATGCTTTGTGCCAGTTACTCGGGTCTAGTACAGCTTCTGCATTTGCCTTTTGTGCAAATTTATCTTCCTTTCACTAGTCTGAGGGAGGCAGGACCTGTGCAAGTCAGTAAAATCCTCGCCCAGTCACTGGGAGTCTCCCTCTAGCTCATCTTCTTTGTGTACGGGAGGTACCAGTTCCAAGCCCGGCATCTCCACTAATAATGTAGGAAGCCTTGAGACTCGATCGCTGTGGCAGTCATAGCAGACTGTGCTGGGTGAATGGAGCTGGACCAGAGGCTTAGCTCAGTCCCAAGGCAGGTTAGCAAGTTAGAGGAAGGCCCACTCATGCGGGTGGCGGACAGCAGAGCAGGGGGCGCCCTCCCTTGCCTGGGCACCGCAGGGGGGCCAAAAGGCTGGGCAGGCAGTGCTGGGCTAGCTGGACCGGTGTTTTGACTCCCTTGCAGTCCTCTTCCACTCCACCCGCATCTGCCCAGTTTCAGCAGGCATTGACCCTGTGCCCTCCAGTCCACCTCAAGAGCTGTAAGGAGGCAAGTGAGAAGTCAGAGCTGTAGCAAAGCTCCGCTGACTTAGCCTCTGCGCCCACGTAGTCCTCGCTGGATTATTTCAGCCATTTCCCCCTTAGATGTTTTAGGGAGGCCTGTAACCCTCTTAGCTCCCCCAAACTCCCCGGGCAGTGCTGTACTGGCTACCTAAGTAATGCCCTGCACACCCTGAGTGGAGGAATGGGAGGGGACACCCTTCTCGGGACAGCAGGTCTCCTCGGGCTGCTGCACAGAAGGAGAGCCCTGCTGGGTCAGTGGGAGTCCGTCTAGCCAGCACCTCGCTGGCAGCAGAGACCAGCTGGAGCCCTCCGGGAATCCATGAGCAAGACATGGAGGCAAGAGTCCCTCTGCCGTTGCCAGCGCTCTGCCCCACGTGCAGTGTCTTGAGGTACAGCGTCTGGGAATGCTCTGTGGGCAGTCCTTGTCGATTCCCAGGGGATAAGCCGGGTGTGCTCCAGGAATGGGCCCCTCCTCTCTTTGTGGTGCCGTGCAGACCACTGCTGTCAGGATGCCGTGCAGCCATGCGAGTTTCCTAGGCATCCGTTGGCTATTGTATAAAGAAGTTTTGGGCTCCTTTGGAAGCCGCTGCTGCACGGCGCATGTTATAGCGGCCACTGGCATGCAGGACTTCAAAGGAGGGGTCAGAGAAATTCGAAGGAGCTGGTTGTGGACGTGGCATTGGTGCGAGGTGGTGCGGCAGACCTGTGCGTGCGAGCAGCGCTGGAGTGGGCCCCCTTTTGGGGCTGTGCTTTTGTTCAGCCATTTGAGGACCTCACCTGAGCACCGCCACATCCTGGCCGCCATGGGAGGCATGGCAAAGATGAATCCTCCACCCAAAGTCAGGTGCAAGACAGGTGGGGCCTGAGCCCCAGTACATACCTGCAGCTCACTTGAGCCCGGTTGTTGGCCCCAACAGAAACCTATTTCTAGGTAATCCTGGCTGCTTCTAGGAATATACATTGTAAAAAGCAGGACTTCTCTGGTAGTCACGTAAGGTGTCCGGAGCGGGTTGGTGCCCCAGCGGGGATTTGGCTGGGCCTGCCGTCTCCCTTTCCCTTTTTGCTTCATCCTTTGGGCTGAAATGTTACTCTCTTGTCCTGCAGCCATTTGACCGACATCGACATGGGCCACACACCCTTTTGGACCAGGGTCGCCTTGGGAGCCACCGTCGCTGCCATCCTGGGAGTCACCCTCTACAAGGCCATGGCGAAGAACAAATAGAGCAGGGAAGGCTCCTCCTCGTGGTCGGCTTCCTCTGCCGTCACTCCAGAAAAGCAAGCTTCATTTCTCCCAAGCAAGTCGCACATCCAGGAAGAAATGGACAAGAAGGAATACACGGGTTCCAGTATAGACACGTCCCCCCATTGCCCTCCCTTACTCTCCTCTGGGGGCAGTCATTGCACCAGCGAAGCAGAAATAGTTGCGAAGTCCCCCAGCTGACATTATTCCATCCCTCCACACTCAGGAAGAGCTTCCCCCGCATCCACTCAGTGACCAGTGCACCAGGTGTCCCGCGACTCCACTCTGCTGCTAAGACAACCCAAGGCCCCTGATGTTTTCCCGGATGTCTTCAAAGTCTGACACCGTTGCAGCCTTGCGACAGAAGTGGACGTCTTCAAAGCATTTCCTTTTAGCAGGGAAGCCCAGATGCAAGATGGGCCTCGAGGAGACTCGGGAAAGCCAGACACGCCATTCAGCTCCTGGGGTGGCGGCGGTGGTGGCAGCTAAACCCTAAAGGGGGCAGTTTTCCATGCATGCTGCTACCATCGTGGGAGAGCGCAAAGGTTCCTGGCACACTTCTGGGCACTGTTCCTAACAAGGAGCATTGTGGTGGGTCTGGCTGGGATGTCACTGGCCAGGCGTGCTGTTGCTTGTGATATTCCAGAAATGGGAGCGGTGGCGCAGTTCACTTGGGTTGTCGTTGAGGTGTGCCATGTCTCCTGGTATGACCGTGACCCCACCGTGCATTTGCCCAGTGTCCCCATCTGGGGGGGGGCAGCACAATGGCCCCCCCTTGTCCTGGGCAGGCCAGGACAGTCCTTGTGCACAAAGGCCAGAAAAGACTTCGACGAGGCCTGCTGATCCAGGCTGAAGGGCGACGGAGGATGCCCGAGGCAAATGTCCAGTGTCCCTCTGGCTGGTTTCTCTGTGAGGCACTGGCCATTTTTTCTGCTTCAGGCCGTGCGGGGAATGATGAAGAGGCGGCGTTTGTGGTGGAGTGGCGAGGACTTGCTCAGGTCCCCTGGCCTTCCAGAGTATTCTTGGGCTCTTCCCCACCCCGGCCCTGCTTTTGCGACTTCAGCTGCAGCCTGGCACCAGGAAACAAACGTGATGCTTTTTCCTGCCTGTTCTTCCTCCTCTCAGAAGACTCCCCTGTGCAGAGTTTGTGCGTCCAGGTCCTGTTGGAAGGTGCACGACCACCAAAGGAAGAAGTCGCCCCCTGCCCTGCCAGGAACGCTCTGTGTGACTGCTGCTTGTGGGGTTTAGGCCCAGTCTTGAGGCCTGCTTAGAGCATTTCAGCTTTAAAATAGTTGTGTAAATACGTATACGATAAAAGTAATGCATTTCTGTGCTCCTCAGCAGGCAACTCAGGTCAGGGGGGCTTTTAAAGCCAGCATCGCCCTTAGCAGTTCCCGCACACTGGACTCAGCCATTTCTGTGACAGGGAGGGGTTTTTCTTGGGTGCCTGCCCCACAGCTTTCATCTCAAACTTGGCATCTGCCTCACTTCTAGAATGCGGATTTGTCCCAGGATACAGGCAGCCATGCAGTCAGTTTCCCCCGACACAGGAGAGCCATGGGGAGCTGGTCATAGGGGCCAGGAGGGGGGCAGCAGCGGCTTTCACCACTGTGGCTTCCCCCCTGCCACTGTGATTCCCAGAACAGTGGCAGCCTCTCGGATGGATTCCAGCTTTTCCCCCAGGATCCACTGCGTATGGTTGCTTGCATATCGGGCAGGCATCCTGCAGTGTCCTGTGTCAATGCCAGGGAAACAAACTTCTCAGTATTAGAGTTCCACGTCCTACCTGGAGCGTCGACCTGTCACTTTAAGGGGGGAATGAGAATATAGGCATCCATGTCGCTTCCTGCCTCACACAATAGTCCTCCCGCTTTTCTCTCTTCCCCCTGTGAGATTGGAAAAAGGACTTTCACTCAGGATATGTTAAAACTGGATTTAAGGCCAGCCTTCCCAGCTGCCCACCACAGAAGAGCTTAAACTAGTGTTAATGAAAAGGTCAGGCTAGCAAATCCCTGGAAGCAGCTCTTCTCCCACCTGCCCTGCCTCTGCCATTTCCTTCTGAGGCTGTGCAGCAGTGATACCCAGAAGCTGCACTTGGGACAGGCAGGCACTAGAAAAGACAGGAGGCCCTGGTGGGGGGGGGGGGGGGGGGGCTGTGCCCCCTTTTTTGTCCCCCTTCATGCCCCTCAGCAAAACTGCCCCCCGCCTTTTTTGGGTTGGCCCCCCCCCCCCGGGATGCCCCCCCCCCCCCCCCCCGGCCAGGGCAGACTTGTCACTGTCAGTAGGGAGCAGCGCTGGTGGGCGGTGTCCAGCTCTTCTTTGCCATCCCTGTGCTGCCTGCCAGCCCAGGGGGTCGAGTTCCCCGAAGGCAGGGCTGTGTCAGTGCAGGAAGAGGCCTGCTGCGCCTCTTCTTCCAGGTGCGGGTGCCTGGCATCGCCTGGAAACGTGGGCGATCTGCTGTGCGGTCCCCTGAGCTTGCCAGCCGCATAACGGCCGGCCAGCCTCCCCTAGTGTAGGTAGTCACACCTTCACCGATGTAGTCGGTCAGTCAAGGACTAGCGTTTATTTAGTGCTCTGTAGCGGCATGGAATCCATGTTCTGCCAGCACAGCCATTTCCCAGGTGACCTGGAGCTGTAGTGCAAAACATCTCGAGGGCACCTGGGTAGGAGCGACTGGCTTGGCCGCTGCTCTTCTGCTAGGCTGGTGCCCGGTCAAGTGGCTGTGTGTACAGAGCCCTTTAGCAATTCAGAGTAGAAGGATGCTTTACAAGAAACAGGTCTGTCCCCCACATTTCTGTCTCTTACACAGTGCGCCCAATTCAGGTTGCATGCTGCCCTGGTGCGTTGCAGCGTATGGCTTCCCTCGTCTTGCTGTGCGTCATTGGCCCGGCAAGGCCAGGACCGCGCTCACTGCAGCAGCGTCGGGGTTCCTCCGGCGAACTAGACTTGGCGTGGAGACCTTGCCGTGGGACCGACCTCTCTCTGGCAGGCCCGAGTCCTTTATGTGTGTAGGGCCATGCTGCATCTCCTGGTCCGGCTGGAACGCTGCCTCTCACCAGGCTTCTGATCCCGTCAAGGGTCTTTGTGCCTGGGCAGCCGGCCTGGCAGGTGTTGCCACAGCAGTCTCTGTTGCTCTGGCCAGACTGGTGGGCTTTTCCGGGATATCTCTGAGTTTCCCCAAGAGAAGCCTAGGCTCCTCTGTTCTTTTGCGGCTTGTAGCATCCTGGAAGTCCCTGCATCCCACAAGGAGCTGGGGGCAGCCCGGTGATGGATGTTCATGTCCCGTTGGTGTCAGCTCGGAGCAGATGCATCTGGCAGCAGTGATGGGCAGAAACTAGAGCTCCAGGGGTTCTGGGCTTTGGCTTTCTGATCTCTGGCTCTTCTGGCAGGGCCTTGGGGAGTTGTAAGCCGGAAATACCTGCAGATCTCCCTTCTGCTTATCCCTGGCTTGCCCATTCTTACAGGAGAACACACAGGTCTGTCTGCACATGTTCAGCCACGTTGTCAGCAGAACAGGCTGCGGTGTGGCCTTGTCCTCCGTCGGAGATTCCTGTGTGTAGTCAGGCTTTGGGGTTGTCTTACTCACTTGGCTCTTCTCACTTCTCCATAGTCTGCAGGCGAGCTGGAGCTGTCCTGTGTTGCTACTCGGGCAGTAGGGACCCATGCCAGTCTCTGCAGGGCGGCGTCTGCTGGCTGCAGGCATGTGGAAGGCGCCTGAAGTGGCCGGCAGGTGCCAGGAATCCACTTGGTGTCTCTGGGGGGCGCACGATGTGGACCCCTCAGCCATCCAATCCTGCACATATTCCAGGACTGGGTTGTGGTAAAACCTCAGGTTGCATGCTCCCGTGCATTTCTAATCTTATGCTTCCAACCCCAGTGTACAGGTGGTACTTTCCAGACATGAACAGCAGCAGCAGGACGCCCCGCTTCGCTTCTCTTGGGCTGCTGTTAAAAGTACAGAAATACTGCCAAGGGTGAGGAAATAAAACCGGTGCCCTTCCTTGGAGCGATGGCAGCATTTGGCAACCACTGGAGTCCATTGTTAGTCCGCAGCTTATGGTAGGACTGAAGCTAGGAACTGTTGGGTCCCCCTGCTCTCCTGATTGCTTGCATGCCTGGAATGGGTTAGCTGTTTCCAGCTAGTTAGTTGGAAACATTAGAACATGAAGAAACATGCAGGTGGGACAGAAGAGGATCAGCTGTGACTAAAACGAGCCTGAGCTGTGGTCCAACTGGAGATTTGGCAGGGTGGGTTTTGTGTCTAGGGCTGTTAGTTGTTTCTCACTGCCCTCAAAGCCCTCTGCCTTGGGTGGCTCCCTCTAACACTCTGGTGGAAAGGGGCCAGCATTTATTTTTCACGCCTCTGCGTAATGGGGGTTCAGCTACCAGACCGCATCTCTCAAGTCCAGCCTGAGGGGCATCCCTGTAAAATCAGGAAGCTGGGCCACAGTTCTTTTCGCTGCTTGTGGCACCTCAGTGCTTTGACCCTTGGAACACCATCGTTCGCCCAACTCTGAAGGGAATCGAAGCGAACAGGGGCGGTTTGTGTTTTTTAAGCGTTGCGAGTTGTCCTGCGCGCTTGGTCTGTAGTTCAAGTGAGCGGGTGGGAGTGCCCCGGCACCTCTCGAGTGCTTCCCTGCCGGCCTCGGGCCCGTCTCGGGTCCTGTGGCCGATTATTCCAAGGGACATTCAGGCTGCAGTCATTGGAGCAGTTGCACCCTGTAGGCACGGCTGGCAGCCTGCTGCCCTTCGCAGGGGGGACAGGCCCCGCTCGGTCCCTTCCATGCCACAGTGGCGCCTCCTGGCTACGTGGGGGTGGCGTGCGCTCACCTGTTTCGGCCCCAGCTTGACTGGCTCCTGGCTCCCGGCTCCCTGACACCTGGGTCGGAACCAAAATGTGTATGTGGCGGTTCTCACAGTAGACCTTATGTGTTCCAGGGTGCCCTTTGTTTTTCCAGTGCTACTCTTAAGGACTGGCTATACGGTATGTTAAGTTTGTTTTTAAAAATGCTTAATGCCACCAGCTAAGCGAGATCATGGGGCCAGGGGAGGAATTACGTCTTTCTGCTTCATGTTCCTGAGAGTTGCAACACACACACCCCTAGTTCCTGCTTCCTAGCAGTAGCACCCTGAGGAGTAAAAGGCAATGTGGGGAGGGAACAGATCATTTGGGAGGAGAAGACAAAGATTAATTTTACTTTAAAAGTGCACATGTGATCCTGGGGTGCATTAGGGGGACCACAGGTTCCTTTTCTCAAAAAAAAAAAAAAAAAAAAAAGCTCACTTTAAGAGTCTCTTAAGTGTAGTTTACACAAAAAGTAGATGTACTGGAAAAAACTGATCCTGGACAGGACCGGCCCAATGCAGGTTGATTGGAAGAAAATTCTGTGGCATTTTACCCCCTTCCCAATATGTGCAGGGCTGTTTTTACATAGGGGCAGCAGTGGATCAAGCAATCGCAGTTTGAAGTCCTGCTGTCTGGGACCAGTTTTCCCAGCCTCCCCAGATCATAGCATAGGACGGAATAATAGGGGAAATGGCCTGAAGTATTGCTGCTACTGGCAGTGTGTGCATCAGTTGTACTGCGCGCAGGATGTTCTTGGCCCATTTGGACTTGCTGGCTTCTCCGGGAATCCTTTTAGCGATGCACTGGAAGGCGAGACGGATGCTGTATGTGAGTTCTGCATTTTTCTCTCATCCTTCCTCACTTGTGTGTCTGGTGCGTTTTGTGTGTCTGGAGCCGAGTCCCAACAATTCAGTTTGGTGCAGGGGAAATCTAGTCTTACACAAATGCCTCCAGCTCTGCACCAAGCAGCCCCCCCGGCCTGCCTCTCCATATGACCATGAGACTTCATCAGCTGAATGCTGACGACCAGAATAAATTTTTATGCAGTCTGCCAGTTGCAGAAAAGAAAACCCCTTGTTTCTGGCTCCTTTTGGGGGGAATGTGGAGGTTGGCTGTGCTCTTCACAGCTTCCATAAACAAAATCCCTCTGACTAACATGGGCCTCTGAGGTGCTGCCCATAAAGTCCAAAATTCTGAGGATGACATGAAGGTGCTGACGCACTGCCACCTTTGCGGTTGATGGGTGGGAGCGAGCATGCTGATTTCCCCCAGGATTTCTCTCATGTCTTTGCCAACTTTGGTATGATTGCATCGATTTAAGTACCCTTAAACGCCAAGAGATGAAAAAGTGGCAGAAACAAGAAAAACCTCCATCCAGGGCATTTGTGCCTTCATTCAGAGGAGAATGTCTACCCTGTATGCACACAAATCAAATATCCAAACCAATTAAAGGTAGCATAACACTGAAACATCAATTTGGTAAATTAAAATTAAGCAGT